GGATTAATTAGAAGTTAATTACACATCTACATTCAATTATTTAAAGGTGTTAAACATTTTGTATATTTGTATGTGTTAATACACATGGGACATAAACAATGTTAATTGTACCATCAACTACATGTACATACTGTTATTGTAATACACAAGTCCTAGGCTGTAAATCCATAGCAATGGATCTGCAGTCTCTGTTAAATGTAATGTAATCTTTGACTTGGATGTGGATAAAAAAAATGAGAATACTATCTTGATTAAATTTGATATTGGTCATATGTATACATTGTTTAGTTTGAATGTGGCTATTTTAATTACCTGGAATTTAAGGAAATTAACCCAATGTTGATTTTAATATGTAGCCTAGCTGATTTGGTATACAACATTTTTTAGTAAAAATATGAAACTAAAATTAGTAATCAGACCCACTTGCACTGATGAAATAAAACTGTTCACCCCATTAGTAATAATCGAAAACTCACTAACTTGAACACTTAACCAAGATTGTGCTACCTCGGGTGGTCACTGAGACCCTCCTCCTACACCCCCCCCCCCACCAACTCTCACATGAGAAACATAATAACAAAATACAAAGGATATAAACATTCTTAAACTTGTGAAAGCAGTGTTTTCATGGAAAATAATATTTCTTCTTCTGCTGTCCCCAAAGAAGAACAACATTTATCCATGAAGTAGACGAAATGTGTCGCTTCCTAGTGTCAACCTAATTGCATTACTGATGAGTTTTCTTCCCACTGCCAAGACCATATATACTGTATGTTAGTCAAAAAATTACCTAGTTTGTGACAAGTGGACATTAAACCCAAGCAGAACAGTAGGACGTTAAACGCCATTTCATTTCATTTCTAATACAAAGATTATTCAAGGGAAATAAAATATTTCAATTGTTCCACATTCTAAGGTTGATGTGGTGACAAACTATAAACTATTTATATCTTAGGCTAATCCTAAATATAAGATTTATTTACATTATAAAGGATTAAAATGGATTATATAAATCTCTACATGATGTCTTATTCACACTATCTTATAGATAGAGAGAGAGCCATAGACTAACTCTTATAGACTGTACTTAATAAAATCTCATCAATTTATCATGATTATTGATGCCATTGATACCACATACAGATACATCATCAATAGTATTATTCTTTGTCCTTTCATCAGGCTATTACACAACCCGCAATTGAACATAAAATTGTAGGGGTTTTACATTAGATCATATTATTGAATACTGACATGATAATAGATGATTGATTTTATACGAACTTGTCAGCCAAGTTTATTCAGGTACATTGTACGTCGTATTGAAAAAGATTTTATTTATCAATGAAGAGTAAAGATTGAAATGTTAAGAGGAGGGGGATAAGAAAACGTAAATTACGAAGTCTGGAAATAATGCACCTGTCTGTTACAGACATTGTCAAGCACAAATTTCGGCTTTGTCAGACACTCTTCTTCTGGTGTCTACGATAGCACCCTTGATGGAAGTGGACGTAAAACTCTAGTAACGAACTAACGACTTTGTCAGGCACATATTTTCCTTTTTTCAGTGTTTTGATTTAGGATTGAGATATACTTGTACTGTTAATTCTATGTTTTTTTTAGCAGTTTAATATGCTGAATTATACACTATGAAAAATGGACCAATATCACATTTTTTCTACCAGTTTTTCTAACAATATACATGAAAAAACAACTCTAACACATGTGCAATACAGTTAATGTCAAATTTAGGTTCCAAGCCAAATTAATATCATTACAATGTGAATTGTCAAAGCTTATCAGATCTTAATCCTAACAGACAAGTACGTACCAGTACATGTTTCATTTCAGTTTCTTTACTGAATATCATGCATTATCTCAATCTGATTAAAACACAGATCCAATTTCGTTTCATTTTTATAGTTCAAAATTTTGATTTTACTTGTCTTTACCACACTTGGTGTAGGCCATCGAAAGTAGAAAAAACAAAACGAAATATAGATCTATATTTTAATTAGATTGGCATTATCTTTTTCTCTATCTTGGCTAGAATGTAAAATTATCAACACTAGAGTGTTTTTAATGTGAATCTTGTGAGTTTTAATGTGTGTAACTGTCAAGATGCTAATCATCATTAGAGAATCTGCTATAATGGTGGAAGAGGAAGAGTGCTTGAAACATCTCCTAACATACTTAATCACAGTCGCAATCTGTGTAAAATCAATATTACACCATAATACAAGTTTAATCTTGTGTTGGAAATTTAATGGAAGTAACATACTATTATCCGACATCTTCTAAAAGCAATATCTTAATACATGTATCTGTGTTGGAAATTTAATGAAACTAAACTATTATCTGATGTCATCTTGAAGCAATATCTTGATGGAGATTTAATCTGCTTCAATACCTAATTAGATACACAAACTGATCAGACAAAAAAGAGATTTCTAAAGATTTTGTTATTAATATAAGCTTTCATAAGTTTTCTTTTGATTTCCTGTCTTAATATGAAATATTGCTTTCCAAGCGATCAATTAGAAACACTATATGTACATGTATGTGTACAAACGAACCCAGAACAAAAGATTATGTTATGAATATAAACTTACATAAGTTTTGATTTCTTTTCTTATTATGAAATATTGCTTTTCAAGCAACTAATTAAAACCATCAGATAGTGGTAAAAAGTTCTACATGTAGCAATTTATAATTTGATAATAATTGGCAGAAAATCATATACATGTACATATTAAATTCATTCCTTTCAAATTCTTCATACATTTAAAAATATTGTAGGGGTTTTACATTAGATCATATTATTGAATACTGACATGATAATAGATGATTGATTTTATACGAACTTGTCAGCCAAGTTTATTCAGGTACATTGTACGTCGTATTGAAAAAGATTTTATTTATCAATGAAGAGTAAAGATTGAAATGTTAAGAGGAGGGGGATAAGAAAACGTAAATTACGAAGTCTGGAAATAATGCACCTGTCTGTTACAGACATTGTCAAGCACAAATTTCGGCTTTGTCAGACACTTTTCTTCTGGTGTCTACGATAGCACCCTTGATGGAAGTGGACGTAAAACTCTAGTAAAGAACTAACGACTTTGTCAGGCACATATTTTCCTTTTTTCAGTGTTTTGATTTAGGATTGAGATATACTTGTACTGTTAATTCTATGTTTTTTTTAGCAGTTTAATATGCTGAATTATACACTATGAAAAATGGACCAATATCACATTTTTTCTACCAGTTTTTCTAACAATATACATGAAAAAACAACTCTAACACATGTGCAATACAGTTAATGTCAAATTTAGGTTCCAAGCCAAATTAATATCATTACAATGTGAATTGTCAAAGCTGATCAGATCTTAATCCTAACAGACAAGTACGTACCAGTACATGTTTCATTTCAGTTTCTTTACTGAATATCATGCATTATCTCAATCTGATTAAAACACAGATCCAATTTCGTTTCATTTTTATAGTTCAAAATTTTGATTTTACTTGTCTTTACCACACTTGGTGTAGGCCATCGAAAGTAGAAAAAACAAAACGAAATATAGATCTATATTTTAATTAGATTGGCATTATCTTTTTCTCTATCTTGGCTAGAATGTAAAATTATCAACACTAGAGTGTTTTTAATGTGAATCTTGTAAGTTTTAATGTGTGTAACTGTCAAGATGCTAATCATCATTAGAGAATCTGCCATAATGGTGGAAGAGAAGAGTGCTTGAAACATCTCCTAACGTACTTAATCACAGTCGCAATCTGTGTAAAATCAATATTACACCATAATACAAGTTTAATCTTGTGTTGGAAATTTAATGGAACTACATGTAACATCCTATTATTTGACATCTTCTTAAAGCAATATCTTAATACATGTATCTGTGTTTGAAATTTAATGAAACTAATACTATTATCTGATGTCGTCTTGAAGCAATATCTTGATGGAGATTTAATCTGCTTCAATACCTAATTAGATACACAAACTGATCAGACAAAAAAGAGATTTCTAAAGATTTTGTTATTAATATAAGCTTTCATAAGTTTTCTTTTGATTTCCTGTCTTAATATGAAATATTGCTTTCCAAGCGATCAATTAGAAACTCTATATGTACATGTATGTGTACAAACGAACCCAGAACAAAAGATTATGTTATGAATATAAACTTACATAAGTTTTGATTTCTTTTCTTATTATAAAATATTGTTTTTCAAGCAACTAATTAAAACCATCAGATAGTGGTAAAAAGTTCTACATGTAGCAATTTATAATTTGATAATCATTGGCAGAAAATCATATACATGTACATATTAAATTCATTCCTTTCAAATTCTACATACATTTAAAAATATTGTCTTGGTCATGTTTAGCATTATTAAAAAAAAACAACCCAATAACTGAAAAACATATACACATACCTTACAAAAAATTAATCTAAAAGTGTGATGATGTCCCATTTTGTATTCAGGACCCTACATGTATATGACCAGGACATACTGCACACAGGGATCTATCTATGTCAGAATAGATCTCTGCCCTAAATGGCCGCCACAGTAAAAAATTAGTATACTGTTTAGTAATGTGGTTCTACTCCATTTCACATCTATAAAGACTAAATAAACTTGTTCAATTTTATTAAATGGAAGCAGAATAAATACTGGACAAAATTCTCGAAGTATGCTCAGTGTTTTCGACTAAAATCGTAGATTTAGGACATAAAATATCGGTCAACTAGCTTAGTGTCTGTTCACAAGCAGAACTAACTGTAGACAGCCAGACTAAGTGTAGTATGCGACCAGGAGTGCCATGATATGTGTGTGTGAATGAGTCTCAAAATTGTGTTGTGTTTTTTTAGTTGTGGGGGTGGTAGTGTGGACAAATTCAAACACAACTCCAGACAGCACAAACGCTACCTAATTAATGTAATTATTTACTATAAAACTAATTCTGGACTGTTTTTTTTTATTTTCAGAGAGAAATGTAGAGAATGTGATGTTAAGAGAGGACTTCAATAAAAATTTATTAAAGAATATACCTCGTCCGTATCAAACAGTTATACCAGAACAGATACGACGAAATAAACTTACATCTATATCTACACAAGAACATCGAATACGACATCATGTAAGTACATGTAGGCTCTATCACATTGTTTCACCATTCTACTCAGGGTGGTGACAAATAGATTCATATAGAATTTTCCAAGGTGTCTTTTTCTCACGATAAACAAGCCATTCCCTCCATAATTTTTTGCCATGCAGAAGTTAACTGATTTAAAGGGATATTTTGTCCCACTGATTGACAAAGGAAACACTCTTGTCAGTAATTTGTATGACTGGTATCATGAAATGACTTTGTACATGTACTTGATCATGGTTGTAATTTTGAAAGGAAGTAAATAGTAGTCTCTCAACAACAAGTATTAATTTTTCTTATTTGTTTTATTTCAGGGAACTCATGAACATTATGAACATGTTACAATACAAATAAAACTTGATGGTAGAAAATATAAGATTAAACTAGAAAGAAATAAGTAAGTATATATCTACCAGTTTACTATTTAAAACACCTCAAGCACACTCTCCCTTTAGGTTCACAAATGGTTTTCAAGCACTTCAACTATAGAATTCATGAAATGAGGGGTTATGTTTAAGATACATATAACAAACTTAGTCCTTTCATTAAAATTGTTCTTGATTTACCATTGATTGTGATTTCTTTCTAAATTGATGTAAAAGAATTTGAAAAATCTTGATATTGTAACCAATTATAAATGTACTTATTCACCAAATTAGTTTTTGTTTTGTTTTCCTTAAAATTGTTTAGTTATTTACTAAGGGTTAAGTCAGTCATCCATACCACTTATTGACATATACCTGTATGTTATCAATAGTGTTTATATATTAATATAAGTACTTTTACCTCAACCTGTCATTACCCACTTGTTTCTTTCATCTAGTACTATCAATCTACCTCAGCTAGTACATACTTATCTTATATTCTTACAATGATATATGGTACACATACTACATTGTAAAAATTACTATGATATACACACATTGTATATACATTTATACAGTGTAAAACTTACCATGATAATAATATACATATATATATACATTGTAAAACTTACTATGATATACACATAAATACACTGGGGAACTTCCTAGAATATACATATTGCATACACTGTACCATTGTGAAACTTACTTAAAAATATTTATCTAAGTCCGCATAAAGGCTACATGATGGTATTCCCCTTTACATGTGTATTTGTAGAACACCTGATGGTACTCCCTATTTACATATATTTGTAGAACACCTGATGATATTCCTCATTTGCATATATTTGTAGAGCACCTGATCATATTCCTCATTTGCATATATTTGTTTAAAACCTCCCTAAATTCTAAGTGGGATATATTACTGTAGTATTCTAGGTTGCCGGGGGGGTGGGGGGGGGGGTGGGGGGGGTGAGCTTACTATGGTGATTATCATTGATGGATTGTTTACTTTCAGAGATCTGTTATCATCAGGGATTATGATCAAACATTATATGGCACCACAACAACAAGTTATATCAAAGGTAAGCATCTGTTATTAGTTATTATATAGACATCAACTTATTCTATATATCATATTAACATCCTCCTTTATTTGATAATAAAACATTTGACCTGGAGGAACTCTTAACCAAAGCAGTTGGAGATCTTCCAAAAGTCTGTCATAAAAATACGGAAAATGATTTGAACACCAGACTTGTTTAAACTTTCTTATCTCTTGGTGTCATGAGGGTAATTCATCTATGATTAAATCTGATTGGAGCCATTAAGAAGTGTGAAGGCAAAGTGATTATTGGTCTATAAGTCTGTTTCCAAGATGTGTATACAACCATTAAAGAAGATTTGGCATGGCTTTGAAGTTTTAGAGTCAATCGAAAGTGAATTGATCCGATTATTGTATTTGCGAATCAGATATAAAATTGCTATCACGTTATGCAGTAACTTTCGAGCTGAGGGCATTAATTTGATTATTTTATGAAACGATAAGAGTCAGGAATGGAATCAGAATCATATGAAACATTCATCACAAAGAAAAATGAATTATTACCCTTGGTTTAATATGCAATATTTCTGTCTGATATTAAATAATGATTTGCATTTTCTGTTCATATTCTGAAATGTGGACTAGTCGAATGGTATATTTCTAGCAGCAGATGTACAGCACCAGCTGTTAAACATAAAGACTATACCTTACTCATATCTTCTACCTTATTTTGCGCCAATTATGACATCAATTATGCGCGTATTTAAATATTTTGGATCAAACTAAAACATTGTTGAAAGATATAAATGGAAAAGGAAACGGTTACTATAAAGACTACCTGGTACATTATTGTACTCCAATTATGACATCATCGCCAATTATGATGCCAATTATGCACATAATTAAATACTATTGACCTAAATTAAAACTTCTCTTTGTTAAATATAAATGGACATGGGAAGAGAACAGTTTGTGGGTTGAATTCGAGTTAAGTTTCAGACATTATTACATGCTTTTGAATGTTGTCATATGGTTCACATGTGTTGATTCTCAAGCCGGTATACTTAGACACAGGGAAAACACAGATTTGCTCAATGTCGTGGTTTTAGATGCACCTCTTCAAGAAATGAAATTAATGTGTGTTGTATGCAAATAAAAACGATAATCATATAAATTATAACTTGGAATATTAATATGTACATAAGGTTAGGGCACATTTTTTTTGGGCGAGATTTTAGGTTAAGGTTAGGGTAAGCATTAGGGCTAGGGTTGGAATTGCCACTAGCCCTGTTTAGATTTCGTGACCTTTGACCAATCTGGAAGTTGGCCTTATGAATTAGATCGAACCCTGAAAAGCCCTGTCTGTATATGCTACATGTTTGTGATCAAACTATTAGATAGCTGCAAGTGGTGATATTTGATAAGATGTTTCTAGTAGGTTATATACATGTACATGTAGTGGAGTACATACTTCACTTTCTCTATTCTTATATACATTATTAAAGAAGAGATTATTGTCATAGTGCACTTGAATATAAATATACAAGTATAATTTATTACATGTGTACCAAACTGTTTTAAATGTTGAACATAATAACATTTAGATCTATCATAAATATTACTAGTGGAGAATGTACATATATAGATACTCTCAGGGGGCATGTTCAGGAATTTGAGCTGTGGGGAATCTAGGGGATAACCTGAGAATTTCTGCTCATTTAGATGCATACATGTACAGCTGTATGGGATTTGAGTGGAGTGACGTCAAAACAACAGTAATGGTTCGAATGTTTGTTTGTTGGAGGTTATTCGATGAATGTAGGAAAAAATAAATATGCTCTGCACTAACAGAGGTGGTCTGGTTCCCGCCCCCCTCCCCCATCTGGGTACGGGCCTGACTGTTTATAGGTATATGGTCGCCATCCACACTTACATGTATGGTTATAATGTTATAACAAAAAAAAACAGATATAAGCAATGTCCTGTCTAAGTGCAATTACAGATTCAAAACAGACCCAAATTATTTTGTTTATCATGCTATTTCAGGAAAATAATTTCTGATATTTCAATCTGAAATTATATAGGCTGTTATTTATTTTCGACATCAGAAATTCAATTTTAAGATAATCAGTAACATATTCTCCACCCTAATTGTATTTTAAGAGCATGGTGTTTTATGTACCAGTAAAACCATTACAGGGTATTTTAGTAACCATTAGTTAAATCCTTCATTCATTTTTTCCCTCATTTACAAGCTTGGAAGAATTTTTTTTTTAGAATGTTTTAATGGAAATCTTTTAGATGGTAAGAACTGGCTTCTGGCTGTCTGCCAGATCTGATGATGTAGACCTTTCTCTAGTTTCCCAAGGAAACAAAGGGTTAAATCTTGTCAGCAGACTGGTTCTTTAACAAGCTATGGCAGAAATTCTTAAAAATGCCATCACTCCATGCTAGCCATCAATTTTACTAGACATGTATCTCCCTTGCACCATTTACAAAGACAAATAAACAGTATGTAGTTAACATTACTGTAATGTTGCTTTCACATGACACAATCTGTCAATACAGTAAGCAATATGTTATTCTTAAGGGTTTTGTTTCAATAAAAACTACTTTTGGTGGAGGAATTGTTTTGTATACTCTGTTTATACGCTTCAGTTTCAAAAAAAAAGACTGGCGAGGCACATGAATCAGTTTTAAAAACTCAAAATTATCGATTTTAGCTGTCTGAAGGCAAGCACATTTCATTACTTTTTGTGGAAATTTGTAGTTTCAAGTAGGATATTTTAGTGATAATGATAATAGGTGTAGTTTTATTTGATGTGGAATAACAAATTACCCAAAAAAATTCTGATATTCTCAAAAATTAGTATCTTGGATGCAAACTTGTATGGCCTTTAAATATAAATTGATCTTAATACATTGTACAGGTGCATGTAATAACCAGGTATTTTGATTCTATTAAGTCTGTTCCAGGTATTAAAAATAAATACTTCAATGTACAGGATATTAAAAGACACAAGTTGTTTCTATACTTATTCTTGTTGAATGGTGAAACACTAACAGGACGTATCCATCTGTTGCTAGGGTATTTACATAACACAATTTATACAAATATCTTTGAAGTAGGATGTATTCGCACTCTGATAATCTTTAAACCTTTTCATGTAAAGAGTTTAATTTGAATCAGATATCATGTCTGTTAGTGTGTAACCTCACGCTTGGCATTTGATGTAAGCAGAAATATATATATTCTACTTTCACTTAAAGTGGTCGAGTGGTCTAATGTGTGCACTTTAGATCATTAGGTCTGTCATTGAGTCAAGTGGTATGGTTCAAACTTTTACATGATAAGGAGTAGGGTCACTTGCCAAACCTTGTGGGTTTTCTCCGGGTTTTCCTGTTTCCGCCCACATCTTAAGACTGCCCTCTCTCTCTTCCCCCCCCCTCTCTCCCCCCCTGTGTATTTAGCAGGATATTTACTGTAAAATCTGTTTAATATAAGCCATATGTGTATTTACTTTCAACATCAAAAGCTAAGGAACTTATGGTTTATGTAATACATGTAATAAGTGTAATTATAGATGTTACGATATTAATTATTAAAATATATAAATAAACATGTGGTACAGTGTATTAGGTAAATCCTAATGAGATCAGTAATTATAGGTCCCTGCTTAGATAATTTAAACCATATGGTCTAATATAGGCCTACTCCTTACATCCTAAGTTTATGTCTTTTATCTCCATTTCAAATTTAAAAACCATATAGGAGTGTTAAAGATACATTATGTAAGATTTTGATTAAGAGCTGGTTGTTCTTGTTATAATAGTTCCAAAATAGATAATGCTAACTGAATATATTGAAAATTTCATTCATATTACTTTATTCTGAGCAAAGTTATCAGTGTTTGTAGTTTTAACAAGATGTGTTTATTGTCATAACCACGGCGCTGGTTATTCCAGACTTAGCCTCGCTTCTCCATTTTAAATTAAATCATTAAATGGACGAACTGTTCTAATTTCTAATCTTCATAAAATCAGAGCCATCCGATGACCTAGGCAGTTGATTGTGGTCTTGTCATGTAAATGTCTAATTAATAATTTATATAACATTTAAGGCCAAACGAAAGACCTGCAACAGGCAGATTTATCTCTTGAATAATGTATCTAAATAAAAGGTACATGTAGTATTAAACCATATAATCTCGAGCATTATACTTGTAATACTCTTGAATGTCAGTAAATAGGTGTGACTAAATGGAACATTTATTTCCAGATAGATTAAATGATGAGAGTGTTTATTATTCGAGCACTGCACAGCCAGTCACTTAAAGTTTTCCATTAACAGTATGTCATTTGAATATAAAGAGAGAGAGAGAGAGAGATGGGGTTTAACGTCCACTCGACACAAACTAGGTCATTTCGGGACTAACATATGGTTTAATTTTATTTCCATAATTCGCTTGCGCGTAGGGGTCTTTAGCAGTGGGAGGAAACCACAGGACCCGGAGAAAACCGACGAGGTTGGACAGGCACCCCTACTCCTTGCCACGTACAACCGGGGATTCGAAACCACGCCAGTCGACTCAATGACAGACTGTATGATACAGCGCGCGCACGCTAACCATTCAGCCATCCAACCCCCCCGAATATAAAGAGAGTGAACTGATTAAAGTCAGTCTTCACAAGCTAATCTTAACAAATCATTGCTGATATCTTTTAACAGCTTATATACCCTTATTTAAATTTTACAACTATAAGAGGATCATATCCTGCTAATGATATACATATTTTTCATCCCATTCTAATTGACTAGTGCCCCAAATGGAAAGATCCTGAAAAATTTTATTGACCAACATCAGGATGGAACCTGGAACCTGGCTCCTTTTTTTTTGATAATTAGACGTGCAAGTGCAATGTGAGGCTGCAATCATTACATTGCCAATATCCACTTCAAGACATGCTTTCTTTGTCTGCTCGACAGCCATTTCCCTGGACTATTGGGAACTGAGCTTGATGCTTATTATAAAAGAGAATATACAGTGTTTAATAAGAACCGTCAGTGAACGTTAACAGACATTGGTTTCTAGCGTTGAATAATACAAGACAATATATATCCGTGCATAGCTGCGATGAATTACATTTAAAAGATTACATTGGTACACACTAAGATCAACTAATCAATATTAATGGTTACATAGCTAGACAGATAATTTGAATAGATGATTGAAAACAGAAGTAATTTGAATACTTTCTCATAAAAGAGAGTGATCTTAAAAACTCTGACACAGACTTTTAATCATGATTATATTGTTGCTTATTGAAACTGTATTCCCCATTACAATTAAGATCTCAAATTGTATAGAAAAACCTGACCAAATGAAATGAAAAGAAATGGAGATTAATGTCCTACTCTTTTTTACCAACTGAGTGAAGATGGGCATATATTTATGCCATGAAGTGTGCTACAAGATACCTTTTTCCTTGAAGCTGCGCAATGGCCTACTCTTATTTAGAATTCTAACTCTTAATGGTTCTTTTACAAACATGCTGATGTGTATACAGGACCTCTGTTTTTTGTATCATCTGAATAACAAGACACTGTTCCTTGCCACGACCTCTTTCCTGCACCACAGACAAGGGGAAACCACGCTGGAAAATCCCAGGGAACATTCTCCACTAACACTGCGATTGAACCCCTTTACTTCCTGGTCAATGAGCCAGCTCCTTTCCCACTGAACTACCACTGCTGAGTAACCTTTAGCCCCTGGAATTCAATTAAATGGATGGATGCAGTGGTTGCATCAGGCAGGGTGAAATAAAAGATTATATTCAGAGTTATTGAAAATGAACACATTGAAGATGTTGGTTAAAGCCCAATTGGAAATGTTGAGAATAAGAGATTCAGGACTATATATGCTACAGAGTCTTAGCACATTTACAGTGAATGCCATGATGAACAGGAAAATTAAAATTCAAGTTTTTTGTTGATGCTTGTTTTAAGGGGATTGAATTTTTGGGACATAAACTGGGTGGAATTATTTTTAGACCAAAGCAAGCAAGGTATTAAATTAGATGGAATTATTCTTGGATTTTTAGGCCTAGGTAAATTTATGATACTTGACCCCAGTGACCTTTTTCTGACTGACTTGGCAGTTGTACATGTACTAATAAACAGTGGGAAGTAAAAACAAATAGAGCATCTACAACTACAAATTACCTATTACTATAAGTAAACACAATATATTATCTTACCTGCTACCATAATAATAGTATGATATATTAGAAGTACATCAACATCCACTTTTTTTCAAAAATCAACTTGATTGTGGATGATTTTTAACATAATAATATGTTTATCATCATCATCATGGCCTTGCTTCTCGAACAATGAACAATCGAAGTATAAAGCATAACAGTGAAATATTCCAGCAGTAGTGGTGGCATGATTGTCAAAAAGAACAGGGACAATCAATTATATTTACAATAATTATTTTCCCTATTTCAATTTTACAAAAAAAAAGATAGAAAAGTGTTCTTTATATAATAATTTAAATGATTTAAACAAAAATAATTACCATCTTGATCTGTGTATGATTTAACAAATTTGATAAACATTGACCAATAAACATGTACAGGTACTCTTGGATTAAATGTCTAGTAACCGAAACTCTGTATTTGTCTGGTTTTGTGCCTTTAGTGATATACATGTAATTGGGAAATGGTCCCCCTATATAAATATTAAAAGCAGAAAATTAAGCTCAGTCAATTTTAGTTAATTACCAGTAAGTCAGTTATTGGGTGTGTCGCGGAACGATTTGATTTACCCACTATATATACCATCACAGATCAACATTTTTCCTTATAGAAATGAATAAAATCATTAGAGCTCTCATTTGGCTTTCGAAATTTTGTAAAGCAAAATTTGACATTTGGCATTAATGAGCATAAGGATTTTTAAATGATTATGCTCATTAATGCCAAATGTTAAATAATTCCTTCATTTTATTATGATAGATTTAAGAAATTAAAATTTTGATTTAAAACTGGTACTTGTATAGGTCATGACTTTATCTTCAAAGATCACACACATTGACTTATAATGGTGTAGAATATTTTGTTTTTTGTCAAACCATTAAAACTGTGTTGAACCTGATAGATTGCAGGTTTTTCCCCACTGGTACAGTTAATGTCAAAACCAAACTCTAACCTAATTGTTGGTGTGTAGATACATGGGTCGATGGTGATTAGTATTCAGATGAAATACCGGGAGAGCGAGCTATAGGGAATAGAAATTAAACATACACATAGACCAGGATAAATTGTTTATTTCTGCTTAGTAGGCAAAACATTGCAAATAGCAGCGTGTAATGATGAACAAGACATGTTTTCATCTGGCTTACATAAATATTTCATGCAGAGTTTTCTGTTTATGAATGATTTTTTGTTTGGGTATAATGAATAATATTTTTATGCAAAATATAAAATATGAGCTAGAGCAGGTTTATGAAAATGAACTATTGATTGAAAATAAAGCTATTCATGCAGGTCATGATTCAGTTTTAAATAATTTGAACACTTTATAAGATATTCCAGAAATAGTTTAATAATCTGTATCGACATTGCTAAATAAAGTTTGATAAATTATAAAAAAAAGTCATTGTTTGGTATAGAGTTCTCTTAGCTAATATACTTTGGTTAGTACTTGATCAATCGCAGGTATTATCTCAGCCTTTTCAATAGTGTGATGAAGCCAATGTGAGAATTTAATGTCATAGTACCACCTGATGCCAAATTATCATTCTGTTTGCTTTAACATTTGGTAATATCCCGAACATTCTGGAATTAATCTGAATATTTCTGTTTCCATTATATATGATTAATTGAAACATCATTTCTCAAATTATATCTGAATGTGTACACATTACCTTAACTTAAAGTAGCTAAGTCTCTAACTCAATATCATCCATTGAAAACACGAATTATTTATCAATTCAAATCAACATTAATGTTGTAATCTTACCAGGAAAAGGTAGGCTTCTGATATCCAATATTTAAGACAAAATAAACGTTTTACCATTTGTACACAAATCGTGTACCATAGTGCGTTTCAGCGTCACTTGTAACAAGTGACCAGAAAGAACATTGCTAGACATATTCAACAACTCATGTCAAACAGTGACGCTATATCTTATATGGAGGGCATGCGCAATAGACTGCAATAACCAGACGCTAGAAATTGGCATTTCCTTGAGACACATGCCGTATTTCGGTGGACATAACTGATTTGAATTAAAGTCAAAATGGAAACAATTGAATGTAAATCAGTTTATATACAATCAGATTACATTATTATATGCGTTGCGACACATTTGGGTCAATTTCTAGGTCCCAAATATTAGCAATTTAGCTCCTTTAAGCGAAGGGTGTTTTGGTCACATTTATTCTGGCAATTCTGTTACAAAGACAAGGTCCCCATAGGATTTGGGAACAGACTCAATCTACATCTAGATTAAATGAATTTATTTTGCAAAGTTTCCATGCCTTATCAAAAATAACCCACAGCCAAAATTTTAAAGTGGAATCTCTAGATTAAAGACTTCTGCCCATGGGTTAGATTATATATACATGTATTTACGGAGAATAGTTGAATTAAAATAATAATTTACATTAATAGTCCACAAAGTGTTATGTGAGATTTTATTATTTGAAATGAATTCAATCTGTTAAAAGTCATTATTTGTTTACTGTCATGGCCTCTTACAGTAAACCTATAAAAAGGTTAATATGCAGTCTATCAATTTTGTGTTGGCATATTTTGTTTTATATTTTGATGTGGTACATACCTTCCAGGTAATCTATAAGATTTATTTTGACTTTAGTTTATAGTTTTATGCTATGAATGAGTTCTTTGTTTTGAGTTCTTTGTGCTTGTTTTGATGAGTGGTAATCATTTGTAAAATTACACCATGCTTTTTTTAAAAGTATACATGTAGGAGTTGAGCATTATTCAGTTATACAGACAACAAAAACTAAGCTGTGAAACTTTGTACAGCATACATATTATATAACAGATAATCAGAGTTATATAGTAAACAGTTGTAGTTTATATTTCAGACTTCAGACCATGTTGTTTTTTTTTTTAAAATCATGTTTTATATATAGAGTAGAAGATGGTATTGTTTTATCTTTCATACTGCAGAACATTATGGTTTTTTTTATCAGGTTATGTTTTATATATTAGAGTCAATGGAATATTGTTTTATGTTATATATTTTAAACTACATAACATTGTTTTATTTTGTATGTATAGCACATTGTTTGTATAATGGTATTGTTTTATATTTCAGACTGAGGAATATTGTATCATGGTATTGTTGTATATTTATATTATTTTTTGTATCATGATATTGTTTTATATTTCAGACTGTTGAACATTGTTTTTATCATGGTTATGTTAAGAGAGATGAATGGTCCAGTGTTGCTGTTAGTACTTGTAATGGTATCAGGTGAGTCACAACACCAATTAATAAAATCGCAGGATTCATAGTTAATTGAAGGAACAATTACTCTTTCTTGTCACAGTTTCAACAGTTTCTCAGCGAAACCAATTATCTAACGAAAGCATTGTGAGTTTGCATGTATTACAAGACATAGGCTTATGAAGCGTGATTAGGCAAAATCCAAATGCTCTTATTATTAGGTGGAATAAATCTCTTAAAACACATCATTACGAAAATAGGATAAGATACTTTAAGAGTACAGCTGAGTATTTGAAAAATTATGTGTCATTTTCCTACAATACGTGGAAACATCATTGAAAAGAACACAAACTGTGTGATTTGACGATATATTTGGACTAAAAATATATTCAAACTAATCAATCTATCAAAAATTTGCGTCAATTCCCCCTCAAAACTTTGTATTTGCCGGAGTCATTTGTCAATCTGTTTTACAGAGTATTACGAAAGTCTTCTAATATTTCTGTATAAGATGACTGCCTTAAACACATGACGTCATATCACACGGTGTCAATCATTGGATTAATGGCGCATGCATTGTTTAGATAAAATGTTACTGATTCAAGCAGAATGGCACCTTTTACTAATTTTAATATCCATTTACACTAAAATAGGAAATAATTTTTACCTACAAATACTTCAAACGTCTTTATTTCTTTTTCTAATGCATAAAAAATATGTTTTAGAATTTAATTTGTCGGAGGAAAAAAGTTAATATTCGTGGCTCATTAAACATGCATTATGCAAGAGCTAAATCTGATTATTGCAAGTCTTAATTTAGGCTTCAGATGTTATAGAAATTATAAATTAGATCTTTATTTAAACAACAAGACCAAAATCAACTCTGTAGACCCACGGATGGCTCGGCTACAGCTCGGATTTAAATAGGATTTCACTAATTGATTAAATTTAGATAAGGGGTAACCTGATAAAAATACGTCAGTTAGATCGAGGCTAAATGATAGAGTGTACTTAGCGAGGCCGCTGTAAAGCATTTCCGTATGCCATTGAAAACTTTACTTGATAATCGAGATATGTAAGTAGAGTTAACGCCTGTCAATCAAACGTTCAGCGAAGGTGAAGACACATTTCGCTATCATTTCTAGGCAAATATTACAACGATGATAACTATGTTCAGAATAAAGTAATTTGACTGAATTTTTCAATATATTCTTCTTTCATCATCTACTTTTGAACTGTTATAGCAAGAATGGCCAACTCTCTATAAATATCTCCCATAATGTATCTTTAAGTGGCATTGATGTCATCCTTATCAGTGATTGTCGCGGCCTAGTGAATATTCACTGCGGATCAGTGTGGTCTTTTGTACGTTGACACCCCTCAATGTTCCCAAAACTGCCTAACCATTTGATCAAGAAATAATAACCGCTTCCTCAGTCAAGCTAGCACACAATAAGCTGGCAGATAACAGTCGGTTTGCCATTTAGTGATACCCAGACATTTTTGCCCAGTACTTGCCCCATGGGTGTTTGCTGGGTAATCCAATATTTTTCTAGTAAGATTGGGTGTCTATACTTTCCATATATACCAAATTTGCCATATTTTATTAGAAATAACCATCCAATAAATACTTTCGGGACAATGTATCTTTAACATTTATAACATGTTATAAAAATTTAAATAAAGTGAAGCTCTGAACAGGAAAAATGTCTGTAATTATGATAAAATTACTGCATTTATTTACCGGACACATAAATCAAACCAAAACTCATGAAGCCCATTAAAAATTGTGAAACTTGATCAATTTCTGTCTGAAGGCTTTTACACATGATTGTAGAAAAGATTTGTTGAAAAAACAGCAAACACTTTAATAGTAACACATTCTCAGACACAGATTACACAAACCAGGATATTTGATATCGAGAAAGATAGAATAAGAAAAAAACGGTTTCGAGTAATTGGGATGTTCAAATAGAAAAGCGAGAGAACGTAAAAACTGGTTGATGATGAAAACTAGGAAGAGATTAATGTCAGTTCTGGTTTCATCATTATTCTGTCCATGATTTTGATTTGTTAAACATGTCAGCTGTTTTAAACTTCTGTTCTCAATAGATTTAACACTCGACCCAAAATTCTAAAACATGCTATCTCCGTACATATTATTACATACTTTACCAATATCTTAAGTTATGTGGTTAATGCAAAAGCACAACAAAAAATGTTTGAGCAGCATATTTTTTGGATGAAGTATGTAATACAAGACTGTGTATTATAAGCTAGAGCTCTTTTAGAAATGTAGAGATGACTGTGTTCCGACTTCCGAGTAAGGGCTCATATTTCTTTTTTGACATTGATTAAGATTTTGGGACTGCAGGACAGTTTGAAAAAAAGATTAATAACTATGATTTCAAATTTTAAAAAAAATTAAATTTGATATCACCCTTTGATTGGATGCCTTCTCCCTGCCTCCTCCCTCCAGCGCCTCCCCCCTCCCCACACAAACACACATCAGTAATGCTTTATCTGCCCCCTCCACAGCTAGATCAGGTAACAATTATGATATACATGTATTGTTGTTTTCTTTTTGTTGTGCAGTTTCCTTGTTTCATGGTTTTAATTAGTAGACAAGCCAACTTGGTAAACCACAGAAAGCAGTCGACCAATAATTACCATGCAATGTACAAATGCTTAATGATTTGATAATTGTTTTGATCAGCTACGTAATATTGGCACAAACAAATTGATTAAGACTTGCTGAATTTTATATAGCCTGTTTAAGATTTTATTTGTCAAGGTCATGAATGTGGAGATGAAAAGTATGCGAAACCGTTATCCAATATTCTAATGATTCTCACATTTGGAACAATAATAATTTGTGTAGTTTTTCTCTAAAATGAGTTTAATAAATTCAATAATTTTTCTGTCCCTTTGATCCAAAAATGCTATGAATTAGGAACAGTGTTATTTTTTTTTATTTTCTTAATATACCATTGAAATCACTGTTTGATATGTCTCTAATACCTGTGGGGATTTTTATTCCTTTATGTTCTTAATGAAAATGCAATAATCCATGCCATTTTTGTCAGTCTGCAATATGTTGCTCTAATCTCATTAATAAATGTAGTTTCACATATGATATAATTATACTGACTACTGAGGACCTTGTCACATCCAATTCTATATCTTATAAATATTTCTCTTTGCTTAAAAGCCATCATTTTTAATAATGAAACTTCTCATACTTGGGCACTCGGGGAAACGATTAAAAATAAACAATTTCTTATAACTTAAAATTGATTTCCTTTTTTTATTGTTTTTTTTATAAATAAAACAAACTTTCATCTGAATCTGAAAAGTGATATGTTGCGTTAGAAATGGAGAATCAATACACAGCTTTGGAAAACAGAGTGAGAGAGAGTAAAAAAAAGTTAATGATGTATTTGATTGACAGGACTGTTGTTAACTATCATCCAGTATTAAGAGAATAGATTTCATGGTATCATCTATACTACTGGTACTTCATTGTTAATGTTTCTAAATGCACAGCATGAGAAAATAAAGTGCATGTGGGATACAAACTAAAATAGCTTCTAGCTGTAGGATATTAAAGATTGTTATAATAAAGACAATCTGTCATCGTTCTAATTTGTTCATTCTAGGGATTACCATGTGCTTTCACCAAGAGTGATATCGCAGATAATTGAATGTTTCCTAGGAAACGTGTTGGAAGAGGGAGAGAGTTTAATGTCTATTAAAAACAAACAAGGTCATTTTGAGATTAACATGTGGTTTAATTTTATTTAAATAGTTCACTTGCATGTAGGTTTTTTTAGCATTGAGATGAAATCGAGGTACCCAGAGAAAACCCACAAGGTTAAACACTCAACCCTACTCCTTCGCACATTCAAGCTGGGAATCAAAACCACACCAGACAGATCTTATGATCTAAAACACACACGTTAAACCATTCGGCCACCATCCCCACTTAGTTGTGATTGAACCAATCCCATAAGCATTGTCACTGAACATATAAACAAGTCATTACTTTATAACATCATTCAAGATTATTCTCGTCATACGATCTTATGATGGCTTACTTTACTGTGAAGTAGATGGTTGCGCTAATTTCTTGTCTTCAATATCAGAGTCACCATACGATCTTATGATAGCTTACTTTGCTATAAGTAGGTGGTTGCGCTAATTTCTTGTCATCAATATCGGATTCGTACATGCAAGAGCTTTTCTGTCAAAGAGAGTAGGATAATGACCACTTTAAAACCAAGACCGACACACTGAATCACATCAACTAAGGAACATGATGAATAATACATTGACTTTCTCTCCATAAACTTTCAGTGTCAGACATCCTCAGTATTATACTAATTCTGTCCTCACGGCAGAAGATATTAATTTAGTTAAAGAATTCCCTGATGTTGGAAATGGAATTATGCAAGATGTAATAATACAATGACATTAAATTGGGTTGTCATAACCTCATTTAAAGTCCCTAGACGTGATTTGAGCAATATTGGAATCCATTAATTGCAAACTACAATATTGTAAAAGCTGAATTTATGATAGAAATATCAGTCCAAAAACGGTTTATTTATATCAATCTATACTGCCTCTTTATGTAAATACTTGACAAGGAGTAGGGCCGCCTGTCCGACCCCGTGGGTTTTCTCCAGGTCCTCCGGTCTTTTTCTACAGCTGAAGACCCCTATGCGCAAGCAAATTATTGAAATAAATTTTAACCGTGTGTTAATCCCGAAATGACCTAGTTTGTATAGTGGATGATAAACCTCATTTCTCTCTGTCTCTCTGTCTCTCTTTATAAATGGTACACTTGGAAGTTTTTTTACTTTCTCTCTGTCTTCTGTTGTCCTGTCTTCATTAGCCGAGTCGGAGCAGAGCAGTAGGACGTTAAACCCCATTTCATTTCATTTCATTTTATTTCATCTACTGTTGATATTTTGATTTTGTTTTCTTAATAAAATGTTAAAGATTGAAGTTGAGGAGGCTACAGTTTGGTTTGAATTAAGTCTTGAGAAATGAGATATTCACCGACAAATAAATGACTTTAAAGAATATAATTGTATTGATTATACTTTCTATTTCAGAGGAGTTATACAAATGCACAACGAATCATTTATCATACAACCTTTAGCTGGTGATGAAGGGGTAAGTAAACTTAGTTACAGTGTGCCCACAGTTTTTCTTTCGTAAGTAAGATTCAGTGAATTGTTGGAAATGTCAAGAGTTTAATGTCATGTTGTATGTTGATCTCTAACTAGACAAAAATCGTTTATTTAAATTTCAGTCTGGCTCAGAAACTATTATATGCACCTGAGAACATATAGCATGAACATAACAAACCTTAAAGAGGCAATGGTACCACTTCAAAATCATATATCTTTGAGATTCTTTGATCGCATATTAAAAAAAACCTTTTGGGGCACCTATAAAATTTCAAAATTTCTTGGGGGTCACATTGGCTAAGTCGGTAAGACAATGGCTCGCTTTGGCCGAGAAAGTTCATCCAGATTTTCCGGCATGGTTCCCGCTTGTCAGCTGTCTAGTTGTTCAGATGTTACGAAAAACAGAGTTCCAGTGAGCACACTGGCGTGCACGTAAAAGATCCCTTGACAGTTGGAATTTGATATAAGAGTAGGCCGTAGTGCCGCTGTATGGGAAAAAATTCCCTTATAGCACACTGTATGGCGTATGCCCGTCTTCATTAACCCAGTTCGGAGCAGAACAGTAGAAAGTTAATCCCCATTTCATTTCATTTCAAAATTTCTTGATGCTCTGTCATAATGTCCCACTTGGGCTAATTGGCTAATGAAGATGTGCATATGCCATGCAGTGAGAGAAATTTTGCCTAACAAGCAGTGTTTCTGTCTACTCGTTCATCAAATTCCAACTGTCATTGGTTCTCTTACATTCACCCTGGTGGTTGAACATGTAGCACTTTCCTGTCAGCCTTGCAGATACTACCCATGAAAAAGCCCATGGTTATTCTGCTGGGATTACTATAGAACATGAGATAGTTGTAATGTATAGGGTAACTTCTGTAGAGAGCCATGTTTCAAAATATCAAGAATTTGTTCAAAGCATAGCAGGATCCATCATAAGATAAAGTATGTGATGGATAGCGTCGATGGACGAGTAAGAATTGTATCTTTAAGAAGTGTCAGAATTAAAACATGTTTGTGATGTAACAGGTTCATCTAACATTTTACCATCTATAATATTCTACAGATGCACTACTTCCAAATACATTCTATATGGTTAAAAGAAATTTACGTTTCTCGACGTACGATCCAGTTTTTATTTTTGATACTGATGAGTTTATTTTTTTATGTCAACAGATGCAGCATCCACATGTTGTTTATAGAGCTACTGTTTCTCCTGAAGAAAGATGTGGTAAGATGAACATCTGATACAACTCAATAACAAAGTATCAGGCTTTTTTTTAGAGGGGTTGCTCCGGTCTTAAGGGAGCACTTGTAGGATGGGTGGGGGACTGCTGGGTTTTCTCCCCTCAATGAAAATTTTGTAAAACTGCTGTGTCAACAATGATTTATGCTGCATATCTGCATGAAGGCACTATTTTATGGGTAAAACATAGTTTTTTAGGGCGCACACACCTTTTTAGAGGGTACACACCTGATAAGGGCCACCATATTTCAGAGGAGGAGGGGGGCAGGCACTGTAGGCTCCCACACCACCACCCTCCTTGGCATCAGGCCTGAGTATCCTGATGCTAAATTTCAAATTTCATCCATTGTTCCATGTGTTTTCCTGTTCTCGTTTGATATGATTGGGTGAACTCATTTTTAATCAAACAAAGATCATCTCCTTATTGGCTGGAGGTCGGATCAGGTTAATTGAACTCAAAGCCGTCAAATTCAATTATATAACTTTTATGTGTTCTGCTGTAGGCAGATATAAATTACATACAGGAATTTTGGTTTTGAAAAAAATGAGACGATAGAGAACCATTAGAAACCGTAATTCTGTTTATCTTATTTCTCCCATAGCTAATTAAGTTAAAGTTTACATTAAGGATCTGTTTACAAATGAGATGAGATGTATTACTCTAGGTATTTGAATGTAGACTTCTCTGAATATTGTATTTTGTCTTGCCGTCTATCTCGAACATGTGATTGCTAAGGGTATTAACATTTATACATACTTTAAAATCCCATTTTTCAAAAACTGTCAAAATTTATCTTAAAAATACTCAATTATGAAATTTAGAAATTATAGGAAACACATGAAGTACAATTCCATGGGCTATAAAAAAGTAGTCTTAGAAGAGGCAAGACACTAGTCCTTCACAATTTTTAAAGTTTTTATTATGATATTCAATAAAACTCTGTCTTTCAGGAAACAGTGTTGGTCAATGGCTGCCATTCCACGAACTTCATGTTGGAGAATTTATCAAAAAATTAAAACGTTTTAGAGCAGAAAGTGTAAGAATTTGACATTTTCTTTGGCTTTATTCTTGAATATTTATGAAATTACATTATACATAAAGAATTTAAATAAAAACCCTGACAAAAACTGAAAAGGGCAATACTCCCATCAAAAGTCAAAACCTAGTATCTCACTTTTTTAAATCAAAATTGAGTTAGGACCAAATTTGTAGTTACTAGGGTATGTGCTTCCTGTTGTACTACATATTCCAATCTTTTGATTTTGTAAGCAGTTACACCCATGACACAACCTAGCAACTTCTCCATTTGCCTAGTATGCCACAGAAAAACCTAGTAACTCAATAGTCAAATCAATGAATAAGCAGGGGTTTAATATTTAGTCATTACGTTTTCCTTTGTTTTCTCAAATTAAGAAAAACAGGAGTTACTAGGTGTTGCCTTTTGACGGGAGAATACTAGTTGAGCAAGAATGCTTTGTATCATGAAATTATTGCAATTGGATTTGAATAAACAGAAATACATCTAGAGATGAATGTTTCAGTTGTTGTGTCCAAGATCTCAGTAGCATTTTTAGCATTGAAATTAGGTAACATAAAGTTGTTGTGTTGCAGTAATTATTTATGTACCATTGTACTAAATGGACAGGAACCAAGCATGACTTCATTGCCACCATCTTGGAATTCTGATGTTATATCAAAAACCAAAGTACATCAATGTATGTTCATTTGTCCAAGTAACAAGAGGGGTATGGATGGCTGTATCATAAGGTCTGTCACTGAGTCATCTAGCATGGTTTTCGATGACAAGGAGTACAATCGCCTGTCCAACCTCATGGGTTTTCTCCGGGTTGTCCAGTTTCCTCACACTGCTAAAGACCCCTACGTGCAAGCAAATTATTGAAATAAAAAAAATTCAACCATGTGTTATTCCTTAAATGACCTAGTTTGTGTCGAGTGGACGTTAAACCCATTTCTCTCTCTCTCTCTCTCTCTCTCCAAGTAAAAAGACTGCAGAGTTTCATGTCGATTGTACATGAATTGGCAGAGTGTGTCGCCCCCAATAAGAACAACAAGATGAGTATCTCTTAGAGGCCAGTTCTTGGTCCAAACCCATTTCTCTCTCTCTCTCTCTCCAAGTAAAAAGACTGCAGAGTTTCATGTCGATTGTACATGAATTGGCAGAGTGTGTCGCCCCCAATAAGAACAACAAGATGAGTATCTCTTAGAGGCCAGTTCTTGGTCCAAATATAGCTAGAATAAACGTCTTTCTTGTTTAAATGACAAGAAATCTGTTTTGAATAATTTGTTTAATTCTTTTTTATAGTTACAGGGAGAAATAAAAGAACGTACAGAACCACAGATTATTAAATTAGCTCTTGTCTTAGATAAAGCTGTGGTAAGTACATTACAGGTATTATTAGATTAAACATGTAGAATTTTAAAAAAAATATTCTATCATCATCTGATAAAAACAGTAATATCTGCCAAGGAAATCATGTACTGACCTGCCATTAAATTCCCATTTCATTGATTCATTCATTTCACTCAAATTTCACTCAGATTGACTGCAATTAAATTGGCTCTTTGAGAAATTTACCCATCAGCTTTACATGTCATGAGATAACTTTGTTACCGTTTTGTTTAGCGTGAGATTACTTCTTCAATAAAAAGTGGATACTTATCGAAATGTATATATATACATTATTGTAATGCTAAATTTATACCTTACACAAGTATATGCATGGCGTTATAATCAAATCAGGAAAAAAGCTTGTAATCTGTTGCGTGCAAGAAAGGGGGAAATTTGAAATTATCACCGTTGGCTTCATTGTGCCAGCTGTGCTACTTAATTTGAATAAAAAGTTTATTTCGTCTCTTTATACATATCTAAAATTGATTCCATTCTCACATGTCTCAGTATTAAGCCCTATACTCAAGTCTTAGGGGCATATTATGAAAGATGCATGTAATTAGGTTTATTCTGTATATTATACATGCTCACATTTGCATAATCCCCTGTGCTTTATAAGTCATTCATGTAAGGATTCACATATTTAAGTGTCGGTTTCACAAACATCATCTATACAATTATAACATATTCATTGGTTTATATTTGCTAAAAATAGAAGATGATATTTAGGACCAAATTACCTCTTTTTAAAATCCAACTGAAATAGTTTTGATTGAAATGTTGAAAATTTTGTCTTTAAGTACCCTATAGACGGAAAATTGCCAATTGAAATGTAACTAATATATTAGATAAGATGATGATATACACTCTACATGTAATTAATTTCAAGCTGTTTATAAAATCAGAGTTTTCTTAATATAACTTGTATATGAACCAGTGCAATGATATTCATCTAGCCTCACTATTGGCTTGTTTTTGTTGTCCTGAATGGTAGGCATCATGATGTTCAGTACAGTATGACTGGGGGATGGTGAGGTTAGTTAATGGAACAAAGCAAACAAAATCTTTTTCCTCTGATTCCTCTGATTCTTAATACCTTTTATTTGATAAACTCTTCTAGCAGACTATTTTGCGGATCTCCAGCAATCCTTTATTGGCATTCTTCTTGTAAAATTTGTAACAACCTATCTTTGTGTATACATTTAGATATAAATATGAATTAAAGGTTATGTAGTAAGTAAATAAAGTTAAAAATAATATCCCTATAGACATTGTTAGATAATGATAGGTTTGAACAGGTGTGTGTATATGTCATATTTCATCATTCAGTTTTTTTTATTATTATGATAAGGGCTATATAAATAGGGAAGTCATGACAGCTGAAAGTAGAATGTTTATATACATAAGCATTATTTAGATAATGATTGTTTGTATTTGTATAAAGGATTATATATATATTGTATTTCGATATGTATGTGCATGTTTTATATGAATATACAATTGAAATGAACATGTGCATATGCTATATGCAGTGTGCTATGAGGGGATTTTTGCCCGGACAGTGGTGTTATTACCTACTCTTATTTTGTATTCAAGGGTGCATGCCAACGTTCACACAGGGACCTTGTTTTTTTTTTGGTCACTTTTGATTGACATGACATTGTTTAGTGTTCCTTTCCAAGCTCAATTTCCTGCACCACTGAGGCTGACCTTAAAAATATCTTTGTTTCACCAAACCCGACCCACAATCGAGGAGAAGGGTCGGTAGGTCGGTTTTTTTTTCAGATTTTTTTTTAAAGTCAGAGAAATCAATACAGAAAACTTATTAGCTGTATACTACAGATTCATTAATTTTGTTTAATGAATTTGGGGTCTGACGTAAAAAGTAACGAACTGAAAGTTTTTATTAAACTTAAGAGCTAATTTGACAGCTTAATAATTTTCCGGGTGGAAACATTCGTCTTCTTTATTGGCAAACAAATCAATGACATCGGGATTTTTCGTGATGCCCGACTCGCACACGATTAGCCACGAACTTGAAGTGTGAAACTCCTTCAACACGTTTTTAACGATAGTGCGCGTTGTGCTTTCATTTTTCTCGAAAACGGATATTGAAAATATCGTCGTCATGTTTAAAACTACGCACCACAGACATAGAGGCAGAATTATTTCGTGGGAATGGACGTGTATTCGTCTGCAACCATTTTGTTGAGAAGCGACACCTATGACGCTTTCGTCTTGATCAACCAGTTTCAATAATGAATCAAACCATAGCCATAGTATAGGGAAATAACTCTCATGATATATTTCAGGTTGACACACAAAATAAAATAAAAAGATCGTGGAAAAGTGCAATAAAATAATTTAAGTCGGGGGTGGTTTTAGTTAGTCGGTCGCGTTAGGCGAAACAAAGATATTTTTAAGGTCAGCCTGATGCAACGAACAAACCATACAAGCAAATCCCAGGGAACTTTTTATGGCCGACACCTAGTGAGCTAGCACCCTACTCACTGAGCCAACGTGACTCCTTGAATATATAATTAACTTCTTATATTGTTTATAACCAAATTGGCACTGGCAAATATGACAGGATACTTTTGTCGGGAATCAAACCGTCAACCCCAGACAGCCCTTCCAGTATGAAAATCAATATAATTATATTATAATTATAACTGTCATGTTAATTCTAAAATCATTGAGTTGGGTGTAAAAAAACAAATACTGGTATAAAATGGCAAAAAAACTGTACTCGTAGAATGGCTGACTTTTCTAATGATTCTCTTATTTTTTTTCAGTATCTTGGGTTGAATTTTTCCCATGTAGAAATGACAAGATATGCTATAGAAATAGTCAATATAGTTGATTTGGTAAGTTAATTTGTATACCCCTCTCTTCCCTAATAATTTGTTTTGTTAAAATGAGAAAACAAGATTTGTCAATTACTCGTTGTATTGATGTTAATTAATATAATATTATGTTATAATTGAGTAGTATAAAAGTAAAAATAGGGGCAGATAAAACGCGTTCATTGAAAATACACATTTTAAATAAATTCTTCCTTAACAAGAACTTGCCTTTAATGTTAGGTTCTCACTGTCATGCAATGCTTTATGATAGTATTGTCCCTATTAGGTTCACAATCTGGTACATCCAGATACGTTCGGATATGTTTCGATACAATCAACACAATTGCTACGACTGACCACAATATATGATAAGACCTGATAGGATCACCATGATTACTCTACGATTGAAACCACTATTTCAATTGTATCGCGAATCGTTGTGATGGTTGCAAGTTAATAGCTAAATGTGACTGGAGATAATTTGACGTCAGAAGATCTTAAGTGTCCCCCTACCTTTCACAGAAAGCAAGGAACTATTGAAATCTTGCTTCTCTGTCTGCTGACCTTTTGAAGCACAATAACTCTGCTTCTAATTGAGTTAGAATGTGCAAACATAGGTTGTCGCTCAATGTGTTTACAGAGTTCTAGGATGAGCATTCTCTGCAACTTGATAAGCAACTTGATTGATTGAGACTTTGGAAAACATTAACTCTGCTTCTAATTAAATGAGAATAATGAAATTTGTGCATAGTTTCATTACCTCAGTACTATTACTAAGTTTGATAATAATCATTTTCTGCTCAGAGTGATAAACAATTTGCAGCACATCCCTTATCAAATCTTGTATATGTTTGGAAAATGGTGCATTAGCCAACTATATTTCATTCTGAAATAAATTTTAATGAAATAATTCATATTATTTTTCAGTATTATAAAGACTTGAATATCCAATTTTCATTAACCTTTTTGGAATATTGGAATGTAGCTGATCAATTTATTGTTAGTCCCAAGTTACGAGAACTTTTGGAAAAATTCCTCATCTTTAAAAACAAAGCATTACAGGGTATAGATTTTGACATGGCGTATTTCATAACGTAAGTATATTAAGGTTCATTTATGTCTAGAAATTAGGACCCATTTGACAAAACTTAAGTTTTATGAGGTTTTTTTGTTTTTTTCTCCCACAAAATTTAAAAACCACACTCAATTAGTTAATTACACATAGGTTGTTTTAATTACAGAAAGAAAGAAAATCTTTCATGTGGTATATTATTAGATATCAGTCACATACACATAATCTCCTTTGAGTGGAAAATGAACCTCAACGAGATATAGATCCTAGTTTAAAAGACAAAATTTGTACCCAGTAGAGTAGCAGGATGTGGGATGGAATGAGGTGGCAGGATTTTAGGTCTTCTTCAATGGAGAAAGGGGTATTTTTCTGACACAATTTTGTTTTCCACAAAAAGGCTGTTTAAGTTTAAGTATGATGGATATGTATTGTCATCTGATTTTAGTTGTGCATGGGGTTGCAGCCGACTCTTCAGTCTTATTCTGAAATTAATTAATTAACTATGTTTACTCCTGGGAAGTTCCCCCAGGTAATTAGATCTATCGTGTTTTAATGTTTTATTATATCAATTAATCAATTACAGTGGAACCGAGTTAGAAGATAAGTCTATAGGATTAGCTATACCAGATTCATTGTGTACAGATAGAGCTGTAGGTGTTTGTCAGGTATGTAAATTAATACACTGGAATAATTAATATGACTCCCAACGGTGTTTTTCAGTATGATAATATTAATAATATATAAGGGAATTGCTATAATGTCAGTGGAATCAGAGGACCCCAATATCATCATTACAGTGAAGCCCAACTGTTTATGAAAGGCTCACAAGCTATAGGTATCTAGATTGTTTGACATTTGATGTTAAGCGGATATCTCATAAGTGACTTAAGAACCTGACCACCATTACTACTCTACCTGATTTAAAGAGAATTTAAAGAGAAAACTTATAAATTAGTTGACCTTAATTTTAGCAAAATGTAAACTTTTATATTTGCTACATGTAAACTTTCATGTTGATTACATGCAAACTTTCATATTGGCTATATACAAATTTTCACATACCGACAAAAACTTTAAAAAATCATAAAGTACTCAAACTTGTTTCTTTTTCAGAGTCCCAAACCATTTCAACCTCAACAGACGGCTACAATTTTAGCACATATGATTGGTCATAATCTGGGAATTAAACATGATGAAGATAGTAAGTATATTGTTGGTAGCCATTATATTCCCAACTGATAGTTTATATCATTTTGGTCAGAGTTATTGAAAGTATAAAGATAGAACGAAATTTCAATCTTTGTTTTAATCAGATTGTATTTGTTTATACTTGGACATGCTTTATTTAATTACATAATAACATTTAATTACATTAAAATAATAATACATGATTTTGATTTGTGAGATATATTATGTGAACCTGTTGTGTGGTTAATATGAGTGTGCAATATGAGTGTATATAGTGGTACAATCTATAATATTACCAGATATGCTACAGTAAATCACACTTAATGCTTTACCTTCTAAAATTATATATCTTTATCTAATATATGAATTAGATACTTAACATATTGATAATATCACATCGATCATGTAGGGTTGTAGATGATATGGTAATTTTTACTAACAAGTTATATTAAAACATACTAGACAGTTTCATTAGTAGGCTATGATATAAACCACATATTGATGTCAAGGAGCTGCACTGGCTCAATGAGCAAGATGCTGGCTCACTAACGAGAAAGTTCCCCAGGGCTTTTCCATCATGGTTTCCCCTTGTCAGTGGTGCTTAACAGAGGGTCTGGCAAAGAACAGCATCTAGTTGTTTGGATGGGACATAAAGCTACAGTCCCCAGTACATTTCAAAGAACCATGGAGTGCCGCCGTGAAATATTGGGCGCAAAAATTCAAAAACAATGACGCAAAGCTCGTCATTGGGTCCCTCTCACTTAGCACCTGGTGTAAGAAATGTAGGATATTAAACCCCATATCATTTATTATATTTATATTTAGGTCATATTTTTTCTCAAATCAAATATTATTCGTACATCTTAAATTTTATTGATGATTAATTTGAACATAATAAGAATGTGTGTGTAAATTAGCAACACACTCCAATAAAACAGTCCCCCAAACAGTAACTATGTTATGATCATCAAAATATATGCGATGAATTTGAATTTGTTGTGCAAGCTTTATCGTTTATCCCATTAGCTAATTAATTAATCCTCTAATTACTAATTTTATTAATTAATCCATTAGCTCACTGGAGAAGATTATATCATGAAGGTATTACTAATAAATAGTTGCATATTTTGCTATGTATTATTTTGGTGGTTTTTGTAGTGTTTTTTCAGCCAGACTTGTATCACATGAATCACACGGCTTTAATGTTTTCCAGTACAATCGCACAGTTTTTGCTTATCTTTTTGTTTTATTTGCTTATGCACCAAATGCTTGTTAATGTTCATATTTTGTTGAAATGCACACGTTGAAATGTGGCTATATATTGTTTTTATCCCTGATCCGACGGCCAACGTTATTATCAGAATTAAACTTATATACAGTATTATGTGGCGGAAAACCTTGGTGATTGGCAACGATTTCTGCTAATTAGTGTCAGAGTTATGTTTTTTGATCACTTTGAAAAATGACAAAGGTGATCACCAGACTGCCGTGCAATCTATATGCAGTGTTTATGTTTATGAGCTGTTAATGATCTGTTGTTAAGTTAGAACTAAGGGGAAACCTATCAAATTTCATCCATGAATTGTTGCCCTTGATCACGTTTGAGTTTTTCATCTTAGGGGGATCACGTGGCTAAGTGGGTAAGATGCTGGCTCGCTAGCCTGGAGGTCGGGTGTTCGATCCCTGCATTGGCCGAGAAAGTTCATCCAGATTTTCCGGCGTGGTTCCCCCTTGTCAGTGATGCAGGACGGAGGGCCTGACAAGGATAGCTGTCTAGTCCTTTGGATGATACGAAAACCCAAGGTGCTGTGTATACATTGGAATGCACGTAAAAGATCCCTTGGCAGTTGGAATTCGATATAAGAGTAGGCGATAGTGCCGCTGCCCGGGCAAAATTTCCCTCATAGAACACTGTATGGCGTATGCCCGTCTTCATTAGCCCAGCATAGGAGCAGAACAGTAGGACGTTAAACCCCATTTCTTTTCATTTCATTTTCATCTTAGTGGTCTGATGACTTATGAAAGTATAGCAATACAACAATCTTTTTGGAGGGCTTAGACGATTAAGCCGGTGTGGGCTGCATTGCTTGTATTTGAAATAGTGCTGAAACCAAACTAGTGTGACATCGGAAAGTGTATCTTTAGAAATTTTTTATTTCTATGACCCAAGACGCCAAGGATTGTTAGAATCAGACTACTATTCCATAATAAAATGGCAGCTTTTCAATATTAATTATGCCGTGGTTTATATAAAATTACAACAAATGCATGAGTTATTCATTTAGATATGCTTACGTGTATGCTGTCATTTTGTCGTCTGTTAAATTGTTTTATGTTTGTGAAAGTGTATGTAATTGATCATTCAATCAATTTAGGATCAAGGCTTTTAAAGACAATTAGTAAAATCTCTTGGGTTAGCTTTCAACACAAATTCTGTTTGGTTAGCACTGTCTTAGTTAAGTGTCAAGACAATATAGGGAAATTATTGAAGAACATAAATTCATTCCAACAATTAATGGCATTAGGCAATATTATGAATGGTATAAGGTGTGCTTCTAGAACAGAAGATATCTGTGGTATGTTCTTTATAAGAAAGATTCCATGAATCTACATAGGATGAATAAGGATAAGGCCATCAGAGCTATAGTAATTAATCTGTGTATTTATGTTATTTAAATTAGTTATATTTAATTACAGGTGGGTGTGAATGTAATGATGATTTTGGTTGTATTATGTCTGAACAAGTCTTGTAAGTAAAAATTTATCACTTCTAAACTCTGTTAAACATTTCAAATTGTATGTAATTACTAAGATTTGTTGATTGTAAGGTGGATTTAATGCAGTTCTCTCGTTTAGTCATATTTATATTTGGTAGTCTTGCATGATTGGAGAACTAACCTGTCAATCAATAATACATGCCATGAAATTAGAATTTCTTCTTTATGTGTAAAGGGGTGGGGGGGGGGGGAATTGGAAAACGCATGCACGTTGCATCATTAGGTATTTCATTGAGTCAGGTTGTGTGGTTTTGATCTCCCACCTTTACGTGACAATTAGTAGGGTTGCCTGTCCAACATCGTGAGTTTTGTCAGGGTTCTCCGGTTTCCGCCCAGCCCACTGCTAAAGACCCCTATGTGCAAGCAATATGTTAATCCCAAAATGATCTAGTTTGTGTCGAGTGGACATTAAACCCCATTTCTCTCTCTCTTTTTATGTGTAAAAACTTAAAATATATGGCATAATTATTGTCCAACAAAACATATTAGATAAATCACATCAATGTTTTGAAAATGTTCTGGTGCATTGTGCTCAGCAAGATAACTTTAATGAACCAAAGAAGATATATCATTACTTCTCAGCAATATTCCATACTAGGACAAGGAGTAGGGTCGCCTGTCCAACCTCATGGATTTTCTCTGGGTCCTCCGGTTTCCTCCCACTGCTAAAGACCCCTATGCAAAGCAAATTTTTGAAATAGAATTTAATTATATATGTTAGTCCCGAAATGACTTAGTTTATGTTGAGTGAATGTTAAGCTATTATTATTCTCTCTCTTTCTTATATTAGATGTGATATTTGCCAGTATGAGATGGAAATATAAACTGTCTTATTTAAGATTAACCATTATGTTTGTTTATATTTTATAGAGGAGCTGGTGGATATCATTCTAGACAGTTTTCAAGTTGTAGTAAATCTGATCTCAATAATACATTAAATATGAACATTACATCATGTTTAACACAATCTAGACAACAAGTACAGGTAAATATTGGTCACTGTCATCAAATGATTTATAAACTAATTAGGTGGTGGCCTGGTGAGTACGGCACTGGTTTACTAACCAAGAGATCTTGGGATTGCTCTCAGTATTGACTGAAAAACTTTACTTTGGATCTTCTGTCATTGTTTCTCTTTGCCAGTGTTGCAGAATGGAGGGCCTGGCAAGGAATAGTGTCTAGTCATTCGGATGGTATGCACATGAAAGAATCCTTGACAGTTGCAATTCGAGAAAAGAGTAGACCATAGAGCCACCGTCAGGGCAAATTTCACTCAAGACATTGCCTAAACTTCAAATGTGAAGAATGTATTAATTTTAGATTCAAATTTGTATATTTTGTTAAATAAAAATACAAGAAATAAGTAATTAGAAATTGACTATTATAATTAATTAATGAGGACAATAATGTTTTTTTGTTTAGATTAACTTTCCCCAGTCATGTGGTAATAAAATAGTAGAAAGAGGAGAAGAATGTGATTGTGGATCGGATGAGGTAAGTTACTTTCAATTATTGAGAATTTTGAAATTGTCTAAGTTGTTTGGATGGGATGGAAAACCACGCTTCACCTGTGTATACATTAGCAAGAATGTGAAAGAACCCTTGACAGTTGGAATCTGAAGTAGAGTTGTTGAGGTTTAATATTTTGTGCCTTTATCAACCAGATTGACAAAAACAGCGAGCTTTGTCAAGGTGCAGTCATGAATGGTTTATTTTGGTGTCTAAGTGTTCAGAAGAAGAGAATGTGAGCACCGATTAGACCCTGTATCATGCTAGAAGCACACGGTAAAAATGAAAACATTCTATTTATGTTTATAATTTATGATATTTTGTATTTTTATAGGATTGTTTAAAGACTGATCCTTGTTGTGATCCTGATACATGTTTATTACGATTCTGGGCTCAGTGCAGATCAGGACAGTGTTGTCAAAACTGTACAGTAAGTATAAGTAACTGTTTACGATGTAAAACTAAGATTTAAAAACTAAAGTCTAGAGAGCATCGAAAGATGATAATTTTCAGTGGTTGATCAGGATATTGTGATTTTCTGTTCTAGAAAGATGTTATTCATTGTTTATTCTTAGTGACACTTCCAGTTTTTGCTTATAATGGACATTTAATAACCATTGAATCCTATCGTCTATGTTATTATTTTGTTGTTAATTTTATTCTATATTGTTTGGATTAGTTTGAAGTATATAATTTTATGTTTGAAATATATTATTTTATAATGTTTGAAATATATAATTTTATAATATTTGAAATATATTATTATGTAAGGTTTTTAATATATAATTTGTTTTGTTTATCCCAGGTTTTACCACGTAACACCATGTGTAGAGATAAACAAACAGATTGTGATGTACCAGAAGTCTGTGATGGATTACGTGGAGAGGTAAATCTTACTATCAATAAGAAATAATATAAAACATTTTAGTTAGAGATGGATTAAAATAAAAATATGGAACCATCGATCCTAAAGGGTATTCAGATTCATAGTCCATTAATACAGTGTAATTTATAGTATGCAGGGTTGTGTACCAAATTAACAGTTGTTACCATGACAAAGTTGTGTCAGGTGTTTTGTGAAGAGTACCCGTAAACCATTGAGCTTTTAGAGGCATTTAGTAACTGGATAGAGCAATAAACTAGAACACATACTTATGGAAGAACAATTACTAATTTATTTAGGTGACATTTCGAAGAGTATTCTCTCAACATGACAAATAAATTAAAGTATTTAGTGATCATTTGCATCTTTAGTAAAATATCAAAATTTTTCACGGTTTATTTCACATTAAAATGTACACAAATTGGTATATACTGTCAGCCTTTAATAAAGTTGAAAATTGAAATGTTTAACTGTATATTTCAGTGTCCTAGTAATAATTATTTACAAGATGGTCATCCATGTAGGAATAATACAGGTTATTGTTTAGGTGGTATCTGTCCATCATCACAAGAACAATGTCAACATATTTGGGGACCAGGTTAGTTCTAGTACCTGTGCAGTTATTTGATGAGTTACTTTATGAGAAAAAGTCCTATACTGGCACTAAACATGTCCTGCAAGAGAAGTCTAATGCTGATAATTTTACACACCTGGAAATACAAATGTCTGTTAGATGGCTTGGTGGTTACACCTTGGGTTGCCTCGGGCTGAAATTTGGGCAGTAAGGGCAGCTCAATTCGGGGAGTGATATACTAGTGACATTGCACTACCACTCCCAGTTTCAGAGTTATACTACTTCCGGTTTCATGAAACTCCTATAATGAATCTACCTGGACAATGCCGGGTAAACAGTTAGTAAAATATAAACTTTGATTAAACTAAATAACTAATAGTTAAATCTCAACAAGGGCTTTGTCTCCAAATGCAAAATTTTGAATGATGAGAAGTTGTCATTTTACAAAACAAATCAACAAATAAAATCTAGTGAAACTGACAATTTTTTTCTGGTTAAAAGGGAGCAATATAAAAATGTTTAAATACAAATAGATGTTTAAAATCTCCAAATTTGTCAGTCATGTGAACTCCTCAAGTAAGAAATCTGACAGTTTTTTTATTAATTAAATTCTTTTTTTTTTGTCATTAGAATCTCGAGGAGGTGATGATCAGTGTTTTGAAAGATTTAATCCTACTGGTAATTTTAATGGACATTGTGGTAAAGACGAAGCTACAGGAACATATGCTAAATGTTCAGCAGAGTAAGTTTATAAAATATATTATAGATTTGAGTTTGTTATCTATATTATAAATTTAAGTTTATGTTATGTAACATGGAAGATTTCTTTCAAAAATGACATTAAAGTGAGGCTAAGTATTATTATATCTAAAGTCTGTTAGTGAGATTATAAAATTCAGGGGCAAATAACTTGTCTGAAACCAATTCTTTATCAGTAGATATTATATTGAAATATAAGAAACACACTGACAAAGAAAGGTGGGATTAATGTTGACGACCCTACATTCCGTCAATTAGTCCCAATACTCACCAGGTAGATCCAGTCTACAACATTTATTAAAAAATCAAGTCAAGGTGTTTGTAATCTATTTTAGTAATCTGAGTTTATAATTTATGTTGGAACTTTGAGGTTATAGTTTACGTTGGAACTTTGAGGTTATAATTTATATTAGAACTTTTAGGTTTTTATATTAGATCTTTGAGGTTATAATTTATATTAGAACTTTGAGGTGATTTATATTAGAACTTTGAGGTTGTAATTTATGTTGCTTAATTTTAAATATTAGGAAACAAATCAGAATTATGTACCAATACCCCATTCAGTGTTTATCTTTTGTTTATTGACATTTATTAACTCTAATGGTATTTACTAAATAATGAATTATTTGATGAAATGTATTTTTTCTTATAAGTAAGGTGTCTAGGAGAAATGTTCAGGATTAAACAATCCCGACCACGTTTTATGAAAAATAAATATTTTTTTATAGGGATATGTTATGTGGATTATTACATTGTGAATTTGGTAATAAAGAACCATTGAATGGACCTGATAAAGGTTTCTCTAAAACAACTGTTTATTCCAATGATCAAGAGTATGAATGCAAGTAAGTACATCTTTGAAACATCCTGAAGGGGTGCTCAATTGTCATTCCAGAACCTTCTGAATTGAGTTATGTCACAATTATACCACTCAACAAACTACAATATTGTGAAAGTTAAATCTCTAAAAGGCTCAATTGTGTTCAATGTTTACAATGATATGATGAATTGAAAATTTTGCAGCAATCTTTTGAGAGCTTATTTAGTGATTTTATTTTCTTATTAAATGTTAAAAGGTCTATTTAAGTACCATTTTGTAGTGTTGATTAAACAATGAAGATATTATCCCAGAAATACAAAAGACAATATTAGGGTTTAAGTCATAGATTATATATCAGATCAACCTACAGCAATGGCGTGCAGAGAAGGTTATAAGAGGCAGCAATGGTCCTAGGCATCCATTTCACAGGGGTACATCCAATCAAAGTGTGAAATTAAAATTAAGGATTTCTTAAATTAGAAATCATCCCTGTTAGCTTTTTTGTACAAGCAGCCCTACTTAATTGAATTAAAAAGTATATTACATCTAGTTTTAAATATTTAAAATATCTTGCTTTCTCACATGTCTCAGTACTAGGTGCTATACTGGAGACATGGCCCAGAGCATCACCATACCTCTGGGGCCTGTTTCACGAAATATTAACTAAGATAAAATCGAAATTTTAGTAATTTGATTGGATAATATTAGATTAATTTTAATGCTTTGCCAATCAAAATTGAAGTATCTACTAAAATTTGGATTTTATCTTTAGTTAAGATTTTGAGAAACAGGGCCCTGACCTACAAGATCTCAATCATTTCTTCATTGTCTTATTTTGATGCTAAACATTTTAAGTGTTTGAATATGTTGTATTGTAGGAGTGTACATGGTCCGACTATGATGGACATGCCTAATATGGGTCTGGTACAGGATGGTACTAAATGTGGTAATAATAAGATCTGTGTATCTGTACGATGTGTTTCAACTGATAAATTTCCTCCACTCAGTTGTCCTAATACAAATCAAACTGTTATATGTTCAGGCAATGGGGTAAGACAATTTACAAGATATGTTAATAAATAAATGTGTAATGGTTTATTCTATTCGAGAATGCTTTGAAAATATTGAGAACAGATATCCTAGGAATACCGACTAGAAGAATATTTAGATGAAAAAATAATACTTTGGAAAATGCCATTTTTTCTCAGTCAGAAATTTAAGATTTGTTATTTTATTTTTTGACTGAAAGTTCAAAATCTAGACACAGAATTATTCAGAGATTTACAGATTCAGATTAGGATTCCAGAGTCACATTTGAAATATCCATAAGTAAGATTCAACTACAATGAAATTAAATGAAATTGGGTTTATCCACCTATTTTGCTGCACCATTAAGGATATACTTGTCTGGAATCAAATCCACAACCTAAGGCATTGAATCCATACACCTCTATCAGGTAATTCTGTAAGTCAGTAGGAAGGAAGAATGTCTAAACACAGGACACAGAACAACCTAAGAACAATCAAACAGCACAACATATATTTACATCCCTGCTACAGTCATATCATTAAAAGTATTTGAACGTGTATTTTTATTTTCATTTAAAAATTATATCTTTCTATCATTACAGCTATGTACCAAAGATAATACATGTTTCTGCCATGATGGTTGGTCTGGTCCAGATTGTACTATCAAAGTTAACATAACTACCAAAGTTCACTTGACAACGACACCCGTTTCTATAGTAACATCTACAACAAAAACTGTATTTGTTATACCACCTGTACAAACTGAAATTGACGATAATAATAACGAGAAAAAAGATCCAACTGAAAAACCTGTTTTAGGTAAGGTTTACTTATTATATTAATAAACATAAGTAATTAATCAATGAAAGATGTCATCATATTTTTAGTCAAAGAGAGGTATGGGGTGTAATGTCTACTTGATGCAAACTAGGCCATTTTGGCACTAACATATGGTACAATTTTATTTTAATGATTGGTATTCGCTTAGCTGTCTTTAATAGTGGACCGATCTAAAGCGCACTCATTACACCACCCACCTCCCCCATTTCTAGACTTAGTAAATGTGCAGATTTGAATCTCTTTAACATAATATACCAATTCTCTACTCTTCTCCTACCAAATAAAACCAGTAACCTTAACATATCTACAAAGGCACCATATTGCAGACTAAAATGCAAATAAATGTTTCTGGACCATACACAATAACAAGTATTAGAGTTAGAACATCTAAAGGTCACATTACCTCTATTGATTTCTGCCGCTATCTTTTTTTGTGATTGAACTACTGATGGATAATTCATTATCCTATATTAAACTCGATATTCAACTTTTATTCTGGGACGTTTTGGTTTTAATTCAACAATGTTTTTTAATTTCAGCTGAAATGCAAGGTTTAAGTACAATGTGGTTGATAATTATATTAGCCTCTGTTATAGGAGGTCTCATTATTATAATGAGCTGTACTTTATTCTGTTATAGGTAAGTTTTCATCTTTAAACTACGACATTCTAGATATATTAATAGTTAAAAGTAATTTAATCTTTAATATTTTGACTAATTTGTATATTGTGTTAAGCTACATACTGTTGAATTTAATATTCATGATCCCAAACTTCTCTGAATATTCATTACTATTGATAACTGAGGAAAATTTTTATGATATCTAGCAATGTTGCATGGAAACTGTGAACTTTGTAGAGCAAAATACAACTTAGATTGATTCAACAATGAATATTCATATGCAAAACAGTTGTTAATCAATGCGACATTGCTGATATCAAGTACACATTAATTGGTTCTACATCCTCTTTTGCAAGTCTTGGATTTCTTTAGACTGGTAGCATCCTGTCACACAAATGAAATGGGGTTAAACGTGGTACTGTTCTGCTCTGAACTGGGCTAATGGGTGCTATGAGGAAAATTTTGCCCGTACAGCTGCACTACGACCTACTCTTATATCGAATTCCAACTGTCAAGGTATCTTCTTTTACGTGCACGGCAATGTGTACACAGGACCTTGGTTTTTCATCCCATCTGAACGACTAGACAGCTGTCCTTGTCAGGCCCTCCGTGCTGCTGGAAAATCTGGATAAACTTTCTCGGCCAATGCAGGGATCGAACACTCGACCTCCAGGCTAGCGAGTCCGCGTCTTACCCACTCAGCCACTGTAACCCCCCATTCTGTCACATTTTGATACCATACTCACAGTGTTTCAATAAATCTACACTCAACACTACTGAATCCAGTCATACATAGATACAGTAGAGTTGAGTGTAGATTTATTGAAACACAGCGAGTATGGTGGTTATGAAGATCGGTTAATGTTCACCATTTTGTCATGAACTAGATACACTCATCTTTGATATTGAAAATTGAAATTAATTTTACAGGAGAAAAACTCCAACAATAAAACTATCTAAAGCTGTTGGTAAAAGTTTGATGGGTAAGAAAGGTGAAAAGGATGAGAGTAATAATTCACTAGCGAGTCATTATATCACATTTGGTCCTCTACCTCACAGGTATATTATATATTATTTTTATAGCTATTAACTTTGATCATTATATCACAGTTGGCCCTGTGCTTCACAGTTATATATAGTTTTCATAAATGTGACGTCATCCTTTAAATAGTGTAAGGCAACATACCAATCATAACGTTATTTATACTAGATGAAATATTTGACTCACATGATGATTTCATTGTGATGCACGTGTGGGATAGTGTCTGTATTTTAAGTTGTTCAATAGTCTCAAGCATTTACAGTGATACACACATTTAGTAACTGCAGTTAAAAATTTCTATTTACTTTAATACCTTAAATTAAAGGCTAAATTCTCTTAAATAATCAGAAAGTTTAAAAAATGTTTGTATAAAATTTGCTAATGTTAATTCTTCTTTGATAATTTAGGGGTGATAAGTTATTTGGTAAAAAGAAAAAGAAGCGTTTATCAAGTGGAGAAGAAAGTGAAATCGGTGATCTGCCCCCTCCACCAATTATAATCACTGATCCCAATAGTATCTTGCCAGAGAAAGGGATCCTTAAAAATTCTTTTATACGATTATCTGATGATTATCGTAGAAGCAGCGATTCAAATGGAGGATCTGAAGGCAAGTCTGAAAACGATTCAGTCGGACCATATATCTATGATGAAGACGAGGATTTAGAAGCGGAAGAAATTCGTGAAATTCTCGGAGAGGACGAATACGAACCAGAACAAGGAATGGAATATTTGGATAATTTGCCTGAATCTTCCAGTTTTGATTTCATGGTACCGCCTCCCCATCCATACAACTTTGGCATGCCATCACTCCAGCCCTCGCCCCCACCACCTCGACGATTTAAGCGTCTTGATAGATCAATCAGATCAGAACATCAGAATCCATCATTTTTATTTAGTCGTATTCCACCGCCACCCACATCACCTCCAAGATCTAGAGTTGTACGTCTGCGAAATCTCAATGATTTACTCCGGCAAATCGACAGACAAACAATTGATTTGTCTCCATCGCCTGATGAGCCGCCATTACAGATATCACCCAGCACATGTACTTCAGAGGATGTCCGAAGTAGCGAAACAGAGAACGATCGTGCATATCCAAGCATGTACAATACATGCTCTGACTACTCGCCCACATCCGTGACCAGCACAAGTACAAAAGACGCAGGTCGGCCATTTTTTGGTAACCTCAGCCAGTATATATTAAAACCCACCGAGATAAATTTAAGCGATGATGATGGCGAACTTCAACCTCCTACGATTGATATCCCTCCGCCAATGAATCCTCTAAACTTACGAAACATATTTAACATCGGACACACAACAGTTAATAATAGAGATAATGATACTCCTCTTAGTACCCAAGATAATTCTTCATTAAATGGAACAAGTTCATCAAAAAACGGAGGTGAAAAAAGCTCTGGATATGGCAGTGAACATGATCCAGAGCGATTTAGTACAGATGACGCCTCAAGATCGCAGTCAGCCTCTCCGCCATCCTACAGTGCTGTCATTAGAACTGGTCCAAACCAAATCAAACTGCTCCCAGCTGGTAAACTTCAGCAACGTGGTGTTTTCAAAGAAGGTGGAGAGTTACAGAAATTGCTGGACGGCTTGCCGAGAATAGATGCCGGATCGTATGAACGTAGTCCCATACAGGCTTTAACGTCTGCTGTTCATACATCAAGTGGCACTCTACCACCACCCAAACCTTTAGCAGAAGTCAATGGGGAAAATGGAAGCATGCCCTGCATTGATAGAAGTTTGGAAGAAATTCCACAAGATCTTCCCTCAAAAGATACCCCTCGTAAACCTAGTCGTAAGTCAAAATCCAAAAGACCTATCAGTTTAGGTGTATCGAAACATAGTCCTGAATCACCAGAATCGTGTAAAGACCGGAATTATATTAATCAGAAAGACAGTGCTAGCAAGCGATACAGTGCTCTAGAACGAGCGCGGGCTATTTTTGAAGGAGAAAACTGATTGTTGCTTTGGGATTGTTTTTGTGTGTTAATACATTAAATATGAAAAAAAAAACTTGTATTAATTGTGAAAATAAACCTGTGTGTTAATATATTGTGAAAAAAATGTATTAATACATTGATGGTGAAAAACCTGTGTATTAATACATCGATTGTGAAATCAACACTTTGATACATTGAGCTTTTTAATGTATTCTTTATAAATTTTACCTTGATTGTGAAGGATTCGTTTTTATTGAATTTTGACCTTGTGACCTGACGAAGATGCTGAGATGTTTTTGTTTAACACGTGTCTTATTTAAAGGGTTGTTGTTTGTACATGGAACTAATTAAAAACATTTCAAAATGGTGCTGTGCTGTTGTTTAAGTGGAGAAAATTAATATAAAATTGAACGTTTGTGGGGGAAAAACCCATCCTAATATTGATGTGAAATGTTAGTGCTTTGTAAATTATTGATCTACAGTAGTGAGTGACATTAGATTTTATGTAGATAAGGGGTACAATTTAGACCTTGTAAGGCTGATTTTGTTACAGTATTAGTGTAAAACTGTTGACCAAAATACCATTTTATTGACCATTAGTACTTAAGTACAAAATTAATTGGTAGCTATGAGTACTTCTCATATAATTAAATTAATTGGTACTGAGTACTTCTCATATAATTGAATTAATTGGTAGCTATGGGTACTTCCTATATAATTAAATTAATTGGTACTGAGTACTTCTCATATAATTAAATTAATTGGTAACTATGAGTACTTCTCATACAATTAAATTAATTGGTACTGAGTACTTCTCATATAATTAAATTAATTGGTAGCTATGAGTACTTCTCATATAATTGAATTAATTGGTACATATAGCTATATAATTCAAGTAATTAGTAGCTATGAGTACTTCTCTTATATAATTAAAGTCACTGATCATCTATTGAGGGATTTTTATTCCCATTCAAAATATAAAATTGTGAAAGTTGTATTCGGTAATTTATTTACAAAAATTTGGCATCCACTACAGATGATGTAAAGGGGATATGGCCAGTGCCATCTATAATTTTTACTAAAATTTCTCGATGGAATTCTTTTTAATACAATTGAATCCAAGCTACGAGATTGTCTGCAATTGATATTTTGATTTTGTTTTTTTGATTAAATGTTAAATACTCAATTGGAGTACAGTTATTAACATGGATTAAGCTGTGAAAAAGTGCAAGTAGATATTATCAAAACAAGTACGATCATACTATGGACCAAGAACTGACCATGTTGTTGGATTCAATTCAAAAATCTAATTCACCAGAATTGTTCAAAGAAGAAGCATGCCAATTTTCATATCGATCAGACTTGAATTGATGGAGCCTTAGGCTTTTTCGAAGAACGTCACCCCAAGAACAAGATGAATAGGGCCTAGCGGTTAGCGACCAGTTCCTGGTCAAACAAAAATATAAATGATAATCAGTGACTTTAAGAAGTCTTATATAGACTTAGTTTGTACTCTCAAGTACCCAATATTTTTATGTTGAAGCTTAGTATTATATTCATCTGTATGTTTTCATGGTGATTTCCTGTAGGCGAAGGTAGTCATTAGAGACATGTTAATATAGACAAGAATGACCAAATCTAGATAGAGACCAATTATTTATTTAACGAATTGTAAATCATTAATTCCTAAAATCATGAAACTTCATATGAATAATAGCGCAGATCTATTTGTTATGTGGAAGGATTTGTTGATTAGAGTGATTTGTTTATAGCTTGGATATAAAGTAGTACCTGATGCTCAAGTTGTGTTATTTAGATTTGCTCACCTCTCTGTTATAAAGTGTATGTGTTCTATAATTAATGAATAAATTTAACCATCCATTAGTATATCGGGATACTTGAAGTTTTAGAATGGAATCCAGAATCCTCGAAATGTGTCAATGGATTAAATATGAGAATTTCGGGCAACAATATCAACCAATCACAATAAGTATTTTGTTTACACGACTATTTGATTTCAGAACAGTTACGATTATGTTTCAATCAATGGTCATTCTAAAACTAAGGAACCTTCTAGACTGAAAATTGAGCACTCCCCACACCCTCTTTATGAATCTGATTGCAATATGCAAATCATTACATCTTACAGAATTTGGAAGTCAAAAGTATATACATTTTTCACACTTTCTTTTTTTAAAGATGTTTATTTGAATAAAAAGGTTTAATTTAGATTTTAGAGCCAACAAGAATATAGTTAATAAAATCTGAAATATGTCAAGAAAATAAAATAGAATATACATAATATGTTGTAATGGAAATATATTATTTTGTAAACTTGCCATAGATGTTCAATTGATTGATGGGAAATAATATAGATGCTGTTAATTAAGTCAACAAAATATATTTTGCTCAAATAATAATAATGACTGTAGATAATAGCTTTACCTATGTATGTCAGTTTATTAATGTTTTCGATTGTGTTTTGAAGAAGTTATATGACCTGTCATACAATAAAGCCAAAAGAACAAGTTATTAATATATGAAATAAATAGAGTATATATGTTTATTATATTATGTATGTAGAAGTGAGCAGTATTGTCAAAGTACAATCTAGTCATAATTTCATAGTTTAATTTAACTTTCAGTCATCATTCATTTGAATTCATCAGGGTCAGTAGTAAGCCTGGGTCAACTATAACAAATTAAATTTTACGATACAAGTCCTCCAAGTAGCCTTTCACATTCTTAGCTGAAATTGTTCCACTATCAGGATGAATGTTCAAGTACACCTTTCAAATTCTTAGCTGACATTGCTTCAACTAGCAACAAAACGATCATAAAGATTAATTAACCCCTGTAGTTTCTTCTCTAATGCTGAGTTTCACTCGGAAGGGGTAACAAACACTGATAGTCCTTAAGGATTGGCAATTTGCAATGGTTCGGTTTTGGATCTTTCATGGACATTTGGTTTTTTATTCAATAAATTATTTTTAATGGTTGCCCAGAGGCTATAGTGTTAATTATCAAATTATTTCGAGTTTAAACCACATACAAGAATATTTTAATATTTACAGATTTATAAATTTACATCTAGTTTTAATGTCATACCAATCTTTGAAATCAAATACCTTTACCAGAATATTAATGTCTATAATTGTCTCATACAACTGATTAAAGAATATTGCATATATTTTTCTCTTCAAAGATGAAATGTTGTGATTATATTGAAGAGAGGTAGGCATACATATATCATCATATTTGACCTTTGCCCTTATTTTGTCAGTGCAATATCTTGTAAATAGACTTATTATTTAGAATGTTTATGAATTATATTAATGCATAGAGCTTTTTTTAAAGTGTAAAATATTGGCATATTATATTGTACATTTTTAATGCCTTAAATATATTAATTTTTATGCAAATTTTTTTTTGTATTTTTGTAAATGTATTTTGTTTTGCTAAGAGCTTTACATTTCGTACATTGTCATGTTTGTGTGTCTGGAAAAATTATTTAATATTTTATATTCACTTAGTCATATCAATAACATAAGGCACTTAGTTTCATTGATTTAGATAAAATTAATATGTTGACCAGTTGATCTGATATGTTATTTGGGTGGCAAGACAAGATCTGTTCTATTGAGTTTTATAGAATGTAAATTGACAGATGATTCCCAGTCGAGCCCTGAATATACCATGGACTGGGAACCCATGACTATTTCAATAATGGGTAATGAATTAAGTATAAGGAACCTGCATGGAGTACCTGTTTCCCTTAAGCAAATTATTATGTAAACTGGTATACACATTACATATTTGGTAGGCTCTGTTGCTCTAGACAATTTGAGCTGGAGAGATCAAGACTACATATTTCTGTCTCATTTATTGACCACAGCTAGAGATCTTTTATTAAATTAAATCTCTTGAGAAAAAAAATTGTCGTCAAATATATATTATTGATTTATAGTTATTATACTCTGGCTAAATAAGACACATGGTCAAAAATCAAAACACAACTATGTATAAAGTTATGTTCTGTTTTCGTAGACCTTTAGATTGATATGGGAATGTTATCTTAAAAAATGGCCAAGATGTTTAGCTTTAAAGTTGGCATAAACCATATATTTATTCTCAAGACAAAAGCGAATGGAAATTACTGTCAAGTTATTCTCTATAGCAATCAAAAACCGCAAATATTGTCTATTTCTGATACTTTTTGAGGAAAAAAATAAAAACATTTGTGTCATATCTATGACATATGTCTATATTAGCTAGTCAGAGGTGGTCTCTTGTTTTGATCTCTTAGTTGCTATGTTAGTCCTATATATTACATTCAGACTTAAATGTTGAACCCAATACTTTGATACCTGTGTATCAATAAAATAATATTAATTTATTTACTAGAGTTTGTTGTTATTTAATACTGACAAGATGGTAGGTCAAATAAAAAAACCTGTGTGGTTCATCCCACTAGATCTCTCTGGACATTGTGAAGTAGCTTCTGACTGGATGGAAAAAACATGATCTAATGTTTGTGAGGGAGAAATGAGGTTTAAAGGGCCAATCCTGATAATATTTTGGAGGATAAAACTGCTTAATTTTGTGTTAAAATCCCTTAAAATCCTCTACCTTAGGGCTGAGCAACTAACTCAATATATGTGATACGTTTTAAAACAACTTAAACCTGGCAGTCTTCATCTGGAAATGGAGACGAGTGTCCCAAGCTATATTATGCGGTGTCTGGATAAAACCAGGCTTTAATTTTATAAAAATTATGTGTAGGTGAAATTTCCTTATCAAGTACAGCACATGGGTCATTCATTGTATAGACCTCTAAAGGAACGGGAATCAATTATCAAGTCATCCAACAAAAAAATTGACCCAAAATCTTAAAAGGGTTACGTGTCCGGATAAGCAGTTTTGACGTTCACGCCCAAACGACTTAATATTTTGAGCTGAAACTTTGGGACAAGGTTAATACACCATTCCTCTATATTTTGGCGCTTAAATATCATATGTACTCAGACTTTTATTTTTGAGACTCTGTTCAATTCGGGATAGTCCCTTTAATGTCGACTCAAAAACATCTGGTATGGTACAATTCGCTTGTGCGTAGAGGACTTTAAAACAGTGGGAGGAAACTGGAGGACCCGGAGAAAATCCCAGTCCATCCTTACTACAGAGAATAGAGAGAGAGAGAAATGGGGTTTAACTCCACTCGACACAAACTAGGTCATTTCTGGACTAACATATGATTTAATTTTTTATTTCAATAATTCGCTTGTGCATAGGAGTCTTTAGCAGTGGGAGGAAACCGAAGGACCCGGAGAAAATGCACGAGGATGGACAGGCGACCCTACTCCTTGTCACCTACAACCGGGGATTTGAAACCACGCCAGGTGACTCAAGGACAGGCCTTACGATACAGGGCGCGCATGCTAACCATTCGGCCATCAAACCCCCTAGTACAGAGAATAATAAAGAGTTTGAATTTCAATTATTATTGCAACTTTATATACCATGCTCTTTAAGAGCTATCAATGTTTTCTCTACCACACTATCAACACTACCATTAGCATCTATTTCTAGACACGCAGGATCCACAAATCTTTTATAAGCTTCATAAAGTCTGAAATTAAGCAAGATGAACAAGCTAAAAGAGGCTGATGTCCCCCGCCAAAATCCCCAAATAATTAGATGACACATACTAATTATTTACACATGAATCTTTTTGAAAAGTATCGAGCAATCAAACTGATTATCCAATCTTAGTCTAAGCAGAAAATGTTCACCATTGAACTCAGTCAAGGTTTTTAAGTACTTGTAGTGAAAGTCTTGTAAGTTTCATCACCCTCCAGACGACCAATGAAATTATTTACCCCCCTGCTTACGAAAGGCGGGGGGTAAAAAATTAATATATATTGATAACTTTGTTAGATCAAAGATAAATAAATGATTGCATATTCAAGATACATTAGTTAAGAGTTTTATAAAGAGTTTGCCATTCTTGCTATAATAACTGAAAAATAGATGATAAAAAAAGAAAATGTTGAAAATTTCAGTCAAATTACTTTGTTGCGAACAGAATTGTCACTGTTGGAAGTTTGGACTAGAAATAGGCATCAATGGGGTCTTCACCGTCTATGAGAATTAGCAATCGTTTGATTGACAGACGATACCTCCACCCACATATTCTCGATTATCAAGTAACATGCTCAATGGCAATGGTAGCCTCACTTGGTCCGCCATTTATTGATTTAATTTTAAATGGACGACTGTTTAAATCCAAATTGTATCCAAGCCATCCGTGGGTCTACAAAGTTGATTTTGTGGCTTATCGTGTAAATAAAGGTCTAATTAATAATTTCTATAACATCTGAAGCCTAAAAAAAGACTTGCAATAGGCAGATTTAGCACTTGCATAATGTATGTTTAAGTACAGCATGACAACTGTGAATTGTACTAGAACATAAATGCACTTGTGACAACAAATACACAGCTAGGTCTTTTCGGGACTAATATAAGGTAAAATTTTATTTGAATCATTTGCTTGCACGTAGGGGTCTTTAGCAGTGGAAGGAAACAGGGAGAAAACTCACAAGGTAAGACAGACAACTCTACTTCTTGTCATATATAAGCTTAGGATCGAAACCTTGCTACTTGACTCAATGAGAAATAAAATTCTACCAAAATGGCCTAGTTTGTGTCAAGTGGAGATTAAGCCCCATTTCTCGTTTAATTGGTGTAAAATAAAGATAACATTTCTCATATTTTACCTTTTTCTGAAAACAATGTCACTATCTAATACTTTTTCCTCGAATGTCATTTCTCCATGACGATTGGTCATTCGTTTTTGTCTGGTTTCCTCGGTAACAGATAGAAATAAGACAATGTTAGGTTTTAGAAGTGATGGTGGCCAGTTATATGTACAATGACCTGCAGGTGGCATGTCTGTTAGGCTGGTTTCATTAGCTATTCCATAAGCTGCTGTACTGTGCCAGTACCTACAAGATAAAATATTTAATTTTACCACACAGGCGTTTACTAAGGTAAAATCCATCTTACAGTCAAATTGAGGTGAAATGAAATGAAATGGGGTTTAACATTCTACTGCTCTGCACCAACCGGGATAATGAAGACAGGTATACACCATGCAGTGTATAATTTTGCCTGGACAGTGGCGTTATTTGGAGTTCCATCCAATCTGAATGACTGGACACTATTCCTTGCAAGCCCAACCATCAGCTTCCCTGAAAAGGGGAAACCACACAGGAAAATCCTGGGGAACATTTTTGAATGTTGACCAACACCAGGATTAAACTGTGGACCTCCTGTTAGCAGCTAACTTGCTGAGCCACCATAGCTCCCACAAAATAAGGTTAACTATATAGGACAGAGAGAGAGAAATGGGGTTTAACATCAACTTGACACAAACTAGGTCATTTCGGGATTAACATATGGTTCAATCTTATTTCAATAATTTGCTTGTGCATAGGGATCTTTAGCAGTGGGAGGAAACCGGGGGACCTGGAAAAATCCCATGAGGTTGGAAAGGCGACCCTACTTCTTGCCACCATGCCACTTGAATCAATGACAAGACATTATGATGCAATATGCACGCATTAACTATTCGGCCACCCAACCCTGCAAATTATATAGAAAGCTGCTTGTTACAGTTCCTAGGGGTTGTTATCGAAGCAGTGCGGTTATTATGTAGAATTTAAAAACTGATCAATAAACACATACGAAAATCTGCTAAGAAGTAGCCTAGGTAATAGACTCTATTACCTATCCATTATAACTGCTTTAGACTGGCATTCTTCTAGAATTTGTCTGGCTACTATACAATTTCCTACTTGATAATATGCTCTGGCTATTATCTCTGGTAAACTGGTAAAATGTTTTCTAAGATGTCCTATAATGGGTGGAGGTGTACAGTAAAGTACTGCTCCAAGTTTCTTCTGTAAGATTCCAGTTAGGGTCGTTTTTCCTATAAAAAATAACAAAATATACTGGCTGAAGAGAGAGAGAGAGAGAGAGAGAGAGAGATGGGATTTAAATTTCACTCAACACAAATTTCATCATTTTGGGACTAAAATGATTCAATTTTATTGCAAGGAAAGTCTGTAGCCGTGGGAGAAAACCACAGGACCCCAAGAAAACCCACTAGGATGGACAGCTGACCCTACTCCATGTCACAATCAAGCTGCGAATTGAAATCACATCAGTTGAATTAGTGACAGACCTTATGATCTAATGCCCATGTGTTAAACCATTCGAGGGGATCACGTGGCTAAGTGGGTAAGACGCTGACTCGCTAGCCTGGAGGTCAGGTGTTCGATCCCTGCATTGGCCGAGAAAGTTCATCCAGATTTTCCGACGTGGTTCCGCCTTGTCAGTGATGCAAGACGAAGGGCCTGAAAAGGACAGCTCTCTAGTCATTCGAATGGGACAAAAAAATGTGGCATGCACGTAAAAGATCCCTTGACAGTTGGAATTCGATACAAGAGTAGGCCGTAGTGCCACTGTCCGAGCAAAATTTCCCTCATGGCACACTGTATGGCGTATGCCCATCTTCATTAGCCCAGTTTGGAGCAGAACAGTAGGATGTTAAACCCCATTTCATTTTATTTCATTTAAACCATTCGGGCACCCAACACCTGAGTTTTCCTAAAATTGAAAATTATTTATTAACCTATATAAATATATCAGTAACCTGTGATCCATCAGAAAATGTGGTTGCCAGTCAATGAAACATGCACCCAAACACATTGATATAGGCTTATTTATAATCTGTGTTTAAACGAAAACATAATTTGCAAGGCAACAAAACATACACCCATAAACCACTTACAGATAGGCTATTAATAATTTGTGTTCAATAACTGCAGCATCTTATTGATCTTAAATACCCTTGTATTGCACAAGAACAAAAAATGTAATTGAAGTCCCGTATCCACGTTGACATACCCATAAAACAACCTTTGACAACTGGATTTCGAAATAACAGTAGGTCATACCACGGTCACCGCTGTCCAGGCAAACCTTAAGTCATAGCACACTGTCTGACATTCATTCACCCGGTTTGTGTAGAAACGTAAAATGTTGAACAACAAAACATTATTTCATTTCACTTATACAAGATTACCAAAATGTAATACATGTACCTGCACCATCAAGGCCTTCAACAACAACAAATGGAAATTTCAATTCTAGATCTGCAGTTGTTTCCCTTGCACATTCAAAATTATTGTATATCTTTAATAATTCTTGTACCGCTTCCATATAACCAACCTACACATACAACAAATACTGTCAATGTAATCAAAAATCAGTTGATAAATTTTATTGTCACCTTGAATGGAGGGGAATTAATTAAAACATTTTGCCAACTGATGTCCTGTAGTCGTTTTGAGACTGTACTAGATATTTTGTTTTATTTTCTAAGCAAGGAGGTGAATTTAGTGGAAATTAGTCAACTTTTATATAAATTCTGATTCAAACTACATGTACCTAGGGATATAATTGACAATCAAGACTTAAAGTAGCTAAGTCTTTAACTCAATATCATCCAAAGTCTTACACGTTGAAAATACGAATTATTTGTCAATTCAAATCAACATTGATGTTGTGATCTTACCAGGAAAAGGCAGGGTTCTGATATCCAATATTTAAGACAAAATAAACATTTTACCATTGGTACACGAATCGTGTACCATAGTGCGTTTTAGTGTCATTTGCAATAAGTGACCAGAAAGAACGAGGCTAGACATATTTAACAACTCATGTCAAACGATGATGCCATATCTTATCTGGAGAGCATGCTCAATAGAATGGAATAACCAGACGCTAGAAATTGCTAAAGGGTTGAGACTCATGCCGTATTTCGCTGCACATAACTGATTTGAAATTAGAGTCAAAACAGAAACAATTGAATGTAAACAGTTTATACACAATCAGATTACATTATTATGTCCGTTGCGACCCATTTGGGTCAATTTCTAGATCCCAATTATTGGCGCTTTTAGCTCCTTTAAATGGGTGGGACGATTTACCCAATACTACCCAATACCACCCCAATACCACCTCAATATCACCACATACTACCCAATACTACAACATAATGATGCAAAATAGACATATCGTTTGATTTTTTGTCAAAAATAGAGAGTTATATCGCGGGAAATGTACTTCAAATGCGATACCGATATCTGGCTGTTCCATTTGCCTCCCTCTACCACCCCAAAAAAGCCAATAATAACCCAATACTACCAAATACTCATCAAATACTACGAAATACTACCCAATATGATCAAATAACAACCTAATATTGTCAAATAACAGCACATTAGTATAATTATTGCATTTTTAGGTGCATTTTGACACAAAAACTTTACGATTTGAAATTAAAAATGCCACTTTGGCATTAAGACCGGTTTATTATCAAATATCAATATAAATTAATATCATATGAGTTGAAATAATGGTGGATTTGTGTAGATTTAGGTAAATCGTGCTACCCTAATTGCTTCATCCTTAGTATCCCTATAGTGGTCTCATTCCGTTCTAGTCCACTATACCCTGGGGTATTCAAGTATTCAAATTATTTGTCCTTGATCGCAGCTTGAGTCTGTGAACCAATCAAAAAAGTTTACAAACCAGTGTTAGCCTCATTGTATAGGCTACATTCACAACAATATGTGGGGATCAACCTTGCACACTATAAGCCACCACACTATAAGGATTTTACTACACGATAAGCAGAAATCAACATCTCAGCCATCAATACATTTCTTGTTCGCTCAATTATGAGAAAGTTTGCAAGAAATTTTATATAAATAAAGTGACATGCACACAAAACGATCTTTTTGATAGGAAAGATGTTATTCTTATGTCAGTTTTTATGTATTTAATGATTTTTGGGATTGGTTGATAAAAATAGCACAAACATCAAGGGCACACAATTTCGAATATGTGTCTCACCCATGGACAAAATTACAGGGGTTGGTGAAGTAGAACGGATTTAGACCACTGGGTTAGTGAATTAGAACGGAATGAGACCACTGGGGACACACGTAGGTAGGCCTACAGAGGATATAATTGGGTCAACTTTTCTTGATAAACTACATAAAACATTACTGTACCCTACCATATTCAAAATCTCTAAGCTCCTATCTATATCATGAAAAACTGGGCTTATATTTCTGTCTTCAAATATTGGAGAAACAGGACCATTTTGACCTATGTTTTGCAACTTCCAAAATGTTCTCACATTTTCTGTTTCGATTTGGGAATTCTGCAAAGTTAAACAGATTTCATTTTTGGAATTTGTTGTGTCTATATGATACATTCGTCGTTTTTCCTCATTTCGAGTACTTGTTAACTTGCTCAAATGTTCATCACCTGAAAAGGCGCAACATAACAGTCTCCTGAGATGACCCCCAGACAAAACGCTTCTTTGATCTGCGCGCGCCTTGGTCAACCCAAAACAAAACCTAGGATTACTTTTGCTGGATCTGAACAGGGGGTGAAGATCTAGACACGACCTGACGTAACTTTCGTTTTCCGAATCACCGAGATTTTCCGAATCACTTTCAATCAAAATAAGTTCCATATCATTTTCCACAAAACAAGTATTCAGTTTTTCCCGTAGCTTTGACTGGGTTATTTCGTTATATTTCTGTTGTCCAATGTCTTCCTTGTCGTTTGTTTTTGAAAACCAAACAGTTTTATCCGGAAAACACACACAGAATTCCTCTACGTTTGCCATAACGGATGTGCTTCTTCTCAACAGTGTTTGTAAATCAAAACTACAATTATTTACAAAAGAACGCAGAGCACGACACAATAACAACATCGAGTTAGTTCCACCACCGTTAATAATTTTCTATTAAAGGGAGATAACTACACTTTATATAATTTATTCTTGTTCCTTTCGTTACAAATTTTCTAAAAAAAAAGATTTGACATTCATTATCATACCACATAGTTGTGCTGTTTTTTTAGGCTTGTTTTAAAATGTATGCCGATGCCACAAAACACTGCACCTTCAGCAGACCTGTCCCAAAAATAATAAATAAATCAAATTACCGCTCACTACACCCGTCTGAACGAAATTCTGACTGGGGGCTCTCTCAGCATAGCAAAACGGCCGCCCGGGTCAAACATTTACATATTTGAGCTTGATCGGTTCGGTACTTGCAATATTCTCGAATAATGCTCATTCTGTACACGTAGCCTGTCTCTCAATTATGTAGCTTAACTGTAAAAATATTGGTTACCAACCAATTTAAGAACCAGAAGTAGAAATTTCAAACGTTTTTGAGGAATTGCGATTCGTAAGATAATTTCAATACTTTTGAAGCTGGACGTAATCTAGTCTACTTAAACTCCATGCTTAGTTTAGATGTGGAATGTTATTTTGTTCTTTCTTTTTTTATAAACTAATAACAATGTTGAAATTTTATGACCTTGACTGATTATTGTTGTGGCCTATTATTTCGTTCTTTCTTTTTTTATAAACTAATAACAATGTTGAAATTTTATGACCTTGACTGATTATTGTTGTGGCCTATTATCGATTTCTTAGAATTAGAAACGAAACCGAAAGTAAGACTTTTACGGTATTTTTATTTATTGTCTTTATCATTCAGTCAAATTTTACCGAATATTGAAGACTACTAGAGTAGAGGTTCTGACAGGGGCGTGGTGGCCCATGATTTTGCACGAGGTAAAAGATCCCGTTCGGACCCCCAAAAAACAATATTTATATGTGAGTGCGGGGGAGGGGGTGGGGTGGAAGTCCCAACCAGTGTCACTGGTTAATATTGAACTGGGTGGAGCATGTTAAAGTCGGCACTGGTTGAGCATTATTATTATAATGTTGAAAACCGCATTGAAAACCATGACGCAAAGCTTATCATCGCATCCCCCTCGATGGGTTCCGAGTGACCGACTCCGAGACCACGATATAGTCTAAACATCAAAACATTTATGGAACTCATCGCTAGACTATAACTGAAAGTTGCAATTCTCTGAAAACTAGAAATCTTGGAATTCCAGATTTGACTGAATGTTTTACCGTGTTTTCGTTATTTCCGAATTTTTGGTATTTTACCTGAAAAAAAAACAAAAAAAAAACAGATTGAGGTTTAACTAAACGCCCGACCAGGATACTAATTCAAGCGAGAGGTTTCGCAACTTAACAGTTACACTTACATTTAGATAAGTGTAAGTGGAAATATATATAGCCTACGCAGGTGCAAATAAAATTTTAATATGTAGGCTAGATAGATTATGAGGAAACAAAAGTAAAACTACACTGCAGAATCAATACCAGGAATTGTAGTCTTAATATCTTATTTCTATTTAATGCGAATAGAATTTTTGTAAAGATAATTAAGGCCCAGATTAGTAATGTCACACACACTTCTGAGAATTTTGTTGGAAATCGTGTCTATATAGGTTGGCGTGGCTATACCGCTCTCCATTAATAGATCTACACAGTTTTGGAAGATTTTAAAAGCTATTTTGACAGTTTTTCTATAGTATCTGATTTATAGTCAGGTAAGACAATATAACTATCATTGAATCTATAAACTATTATACGCTATCAAAATCAAGGGGATAGACCCAGAGATCGGAGGCACCCAGGCCTTGCCCTGTGAGGTTACCTCCAGTCTAGTCTACCGGACTCGAGAGATATTTTTTTATAGTAAACGGTGATAAATTAGTATATCCTGACATTTCTAGCTTATGCACAAATTTAACGCGTGGCAATCTTAAATTCACCAAAAACTACGTAAATTCAAGTTAAATACACTGAAAAAAAAACTTGTGTTGAAACACAAGTTAGGTGTCTCTATTTAACAACACAAACTTGTGTTGAAACAACACAAACTTGTGTTAAATGTTGAAACAACACAAGACTTGTGTTAAAATTTACCAAACAACACAAACTTGTGTTGAAACTTGTGTGAAAATCTACACAATACTTGTGTCGAAACTTGTGTTGAAATTTCTGAAACTTGTGTTGAAATTTCTGAAACTTGTGTGGTTTCATAAAAACTTGTGTATAACCACCAACAAAAACTTGTGTTTTATTTTCCCTCAATTTAGCAATCTTTCCCATGCAGCACCCAACCTTTTTGCTCTGTTTAACCTGTAAAGTTTGATAAATGAGGTAACAATAATTTTATTTGTTAAATTATCATTTATTTATAAAATGATAGGAAAAAGTAAATTAACACCACCAAATCAAAACTAAATAGACATCATTTGAAATGTTAACAGAAAAACAGAGATATAATTCTAATACTAATAAAAAATTTGTTATACTTTGCCCCCCTCCCCCCCCCCCCCCCACATCACAAAATACAAAATAGCTATTTAATTTTTTCTTTACCCAAAAACAAGAACTGAGAAAAGAAAGATCCCTACCCCATACCCCAAAAATATATAATTCAAATATATCTAAATTTAATAACATCCAAACCAAGCCCTAATTAGATTAATTATGCACTAAATTGAAATACTTTCAGAAACTGAAAAGTGCTACAAAGTCATATTACAAGTGATTTGTGAGGCATCTAGAAATAACTAGCATACACAGAAAACTAACAAAAGAAAAATGCACTATTTTGCAGGAGTAATAAAATGATGTAGAACCTTTTCCTCAAACAAAATGAATATTTTGTACATAAAAGGAGCAAAGCATCAAGATTACAGGATTGAAAAATAAAAAAATATCAGAGAAAATCGCAAACATTAAATAATATGTACAAAATATATATAAATAATCACAAGTCAAAAGCAAGGAGGAGCCACTGTGGTTCAGTGAGTGCATTGGCCGAGAAATTTCAACTGGATTTTCCGACATAGTTCCCACACGTCATAAGTGTAGGACATGGCAAGGGATAATTGGGTATAAGCCCAGAATTGAAACTACCCCCACTGCGTTTACTTTAAAGAACCCTTGACAATTGAATTATCTGACTCAATGACAGATCCTTCTGATCCAATGTGCGTTTTTTAACCATTCGGCCCTCCTGGGTTCCCTTTAAATAACCCTTGACAGTTGAAATATTTGATATAAGAGTAGGTTGTAGGGCAGAATCACCAAAATAACACAGAAAAGTCGGATATTAAACCCTATTTCATTTCATAAGCAAGGGAAAGTCACCTTAATGTAGGTCAAGGTTTTTTGTAATTCTGGGTATATTTGATCTACATTTGGTTTCTAGACTATGCCTATTAAATATTTAATGATTTCCGACCAAATTCTAAGTGATTTATATGTCACTTTACATTCTATATTATACATAAATTTCTGTAGAGAATTAAAATCTAATTGTGTTTGGGATGAATATTTAACAGTAAAAACAAAAAAAAATATTAAAAAATTGGGTCAAATGCATTCTTTTCCAGAATTATAAAATAAATTGATGCTTGGGATCTCTTGTTGTTATCATACATCAAATAATCTTCCAGCCTAAAAAATAAAAAGTAGGCAATAAGAATACTTTCTTACTATTTATGGTTCACAATGTTTAAATAAACAATTTATTTTGCCACATCGAGACTGAGTCTCTATTTTGTTTCATCTTTGGGTAACACTTATTGTGTCTTGTCCAGTAACAGACCCAGGCAGATTATTATATTTTATTTCCATCGACAACAAATTGGATATTACCTATTAAAATCTATTTAAGAAGTAAAATGATGTCAATTTTTATACTGCTATTTACTGTAAAAATACACATAGGGTCTATCACAACTTGAAGAAAATCAATGGATGTGATTGTCAAAAATCAAGAATGCCAAGACTTGAATAGGAGAGTCCTAGGCATTGCCCCAAGAAGAATAACTAGATTACCAATCAAGTGTATAGAACTAGTTGATGATTAAAAATACAAATATGTATGTTACTTACATTTTACCTAATTATCAAGCTCTGTGAGAAAAAGTTTCCATAATATGAATAGCCATTTCCAACTGTCTTGATCTTTCTGATGTAGTTAACTGAGAAAAAAAAAACATACTATGTTTTAGTTGACTTAAATCGATTCAATATTTAAATAGACGAAAGTTTTAATTTAATTAAATTGTATTGTAATGTGTTGGTTTGCTTTGTCACAGATGAGACAAAATGAAAAAAATGAAATGAAATGGGGTTTGGCGTCCTACTGTTCAGCTTCGACTGGGCTAATGAGGTTGGGCATATGCCATACAGTGTGCCACGAGAGAAATTTTGCCGGGTACCGTGACCCTAAGGCTTACTCTTGTATCAAATTCTAACTGCCAGGGGCTCTTTTACATGCACACCAATGTGTACACGGGACCACGTTTTTTTGTTCAATCTGAACGACTAGACAGCTGTCCTTGTAAGGCCCCCCGTACTGCATCGTCTTACTGCAAACCCGCGACCTTAAAATATGCAAACCAGTGTCTAACCCACTTGGTCACCATGGGTCCCCACAGATGAGATAGTCATATCTACATGTATCTGGACATAAGTAAGATTCTGTCTGTGCACATACATGTACGTGTACAGTTTTACTATACTAAACTGAATTTTAAATTTCAAAATATTAAAATGAAATCGAGGTTTATGTCACATCAGCTCCAACCGGGCTATATTGTGCCAAACACATTATGGTGAGATTCTAAAATACCACAACAACAATCTTTTCTATTAGAATTGAACACTCACCCTCCAAAAACACCTATGAGAAATCGTAGGTGCTCAAATCACCATTTCTTCAGCTCTTTCTTTTCCCATATTTGGGTTTTTTGACATATTTTATTATATGATCTTTGATTTGCTATGGCATCTAATATGGAAACTGAAAAATATGAATATGTGACATGTAATTAACTGTTTAAGATACCTTACCATATACAAACTGTGTGATATCTAAAACCATTTTAATCTCGAAGATCTTGCCTAAACCGTGAAAATCTGTTTTAATAACCCTTGTTTGTCATGTGACTGGAGAGTCACAGTAATTAAAAGAGAGCCATGTGGCTTAGTGTGTAAGGCACTGGCTTGGTACCCGGGAGGTTGCGGGTTCGCTCCCAGTGTTGACCGAGAAAGCTCATTTGGATTTTTCAGCATGGATTCCCTGTCTAGTCGTCATGGTGGCTAAGTGGGTAAGACGCTGGCTCGCTAGCCTGGAGGTCGGGTGTTCGATCCCTGCATTGGCCGAGAAAGTTCACCCAGATTTTCCGGCGTGGTTTCCTCTTGTTAGTGATGCAGGACGGAGGGCCTGACAAGGACAGCTGCCTAGTCATTCAGATTGAACAAAAAAACGTGGTCCCGTGTACACATTGGTGTGCATGTAAAAGATCCCTTGGCAGTTAGAATTTGATACAAGAGAAGGCCTTAAGGTCACGGTACCCGGCAAAATTTCTCTCGTAGCACACTGTATGGCATATGCCCAACTTCATTAGCCCAGTCCTCCGTACTGCAATTTCTTACTGCAAACCCGCGACCTTAAAATTTGCGAGCCAGTGTCTAACCCACTTGGCCACCGTGGTCCCCCACAGATGAGACAGTCATATCTACATGTATCTGGACATAAGTAAGATTCTGTTTGTGCACATACATGTACGTGTACAAATTTACTATACTAAACTGAATTTTAAATTTCAAAACAATAAAATGAAATGGAGGTTTATGTCACATCAGCTCCAACCGGGATATATTGTGCCAAACACATTATAGTGAGATTCTAAAATACCATAACAACAATCTTTTCTATTAGAATTGAACACTCACCCTCCAAATACACCTATGAGAAAGCATAGGTGCTCAAATCACCATTTCTTCAGCTCTTTCTTTTTCCATATTTGGGTTTTTTGACTTATTTTATTATATGATCTTTGATTTGCTATGGCATCTAATATGGAAACTGAAAAATATGAATATGTGACATGTAATAAACTGTTTAAGATACCTTACCATATACAAACTGTGTGATATCTAAGACCATTTTAATCCCGAAGATCTTACCTAAACCGTGAAAATCTGTTTTAATAACCCTTGTTTGTCATGTGACTGGAGAGTCACAGTAATTAAAAGAGAGCCATGTGGCTTAGTGTGTAAGGCACTGGCTTGGTACCCGGGAGGTTGCGGGTTCGCTCCCAGTGTTGACCGAGAAAGCTCATTTGAATTTTTCAGCATGGATTCCATGCCTAGTCGTCATGGTGGCTAAGTGGGTAAGACGCTGGCTCGCTAGCCTGGAGGTCGGGTGTTCGATCCCTGCATTGGCCGAGAAAGTTCACTCAGATTTCCCGGCGTGGTTCCCCCTTGTCAGTGATGCAGGACGGAGGGCCTGACAAGGACAGCTGTCTAGTCATTCGGATGAAATGAAAAAACGAGGTCCCGTGTACACGTTGGCGTGCACGTAAAAGATCCCTTGACAGTTGGAATTCGATACACTGCAGTGCCGCTGTCCGGGCAAAATTTCCCTCATAGCACACTGTGTGGTGTATGCCTGTCTTCATTAGCCCAGTTCGGAGCAAAACAGTAGGACGTTAAACCCCATTTCATTTCATTTCTAGTC